TCATATACTTTGAATTAAGGTATGGCATTGGTCCCATATTTGGACATTTGGTATGGCATTGGTCCTACATTTTGACATTTGGTATGGTATTGGTCCCATAATTGGGCATTTGGTATGGCATTGGTCCTATATTTGGACATTTGGTATGGCATTGGTTCTATATTTGGACATTTGGTATGGCCTTTGGGCGTCATTTTGGTTGGTATGGGAACATATTAAAATTTGACAGATTGGTATGGGAACATATTGATATTTGAGGCTTCAGCCTAGGACCCCCGTCGAGTTTTATATACAGTGAACCCCCCGGGGTTATAGGTAAATAAAATGCATGAATATAATTGATACCTTAGGTGAATTGGGATATACATGTACTGCATATCCCGCTTTATCCCATACTTGGTTGTGTTTCAGGTACATAAAGCAGGTTTGTAAAAACTTATATTTTCATCAGGGGGCAGATATAGCTTTACATCCCGTTGCGAGCGGGCAGATATAGTATATCTCCCCACTCTGTCATAATCGCCCTCGGGCAGATATATTATATTTGCCTCGAGATAGTCCCAATATCCTGAACCTCATTTAGGATAATCTCTATGTATCGCCAGGTTTATCACCCGTCAGTAATCCCCTGCAGGAATTTCATTCTGTGTAATTTCTCATATTTTCGTATTTTAGTATATGATAATAATTTTGGGTACAAGGTATAACCCTTGGGAAATACAATATTCTACCCTCAAACCCTCGGGGAGGTATATTCTATTTCCCTCAGATATATTGTATTTCCCTGTATTAAAAACTTCCCATTAATTAAACCTCATATATAATGCACACCATTTTAAATATGAATCAAAACTATAAATTAGTGATATCCATGTTTCTAACGAAAGCATGAATTTGAAAGAAACAAATATTCTACTCATATGGTATAAAGATATTACCAGTTGTGTCCATTTTAGATTTGATTGAAGAACTTGAATTAGAGGCAATTTTGAAATAACAATATATTAAAAGAGGCTCTGTTGCTTAGATGGGAGAATCAATTAGCTGCATTGTTCAGTTTATGACAAAATTGATGTTTAGTGTTACTTTCATGAACACCCATCCTGTAAAATAGCATTTGGAATCTAGTAGTTTGTATAAAGATGAATTAGATAAGGCAAGATTACACGTTTGCTCATGAAAGGCATACTTTAACTTGAAACAATTTGTAACACTCAATTTTTGGGGTTTGGAGATCGAAGTAATAATGATGAAAAACAAGCAATTTTAAAATATTTATGTTTTACCCAAATTTTTAAAGATTTTTGTTAGCCTTTGTCTTGTCTGTTTTACTCTCAAATAAATCATGGTCATCAATTCTATTGTGACAAAATCATCATTTACCAATTTTAAAATTAAATATTACTGGTTAGAGAATGTGATTTCTTACTTTAGGTTATATCTATATCCCGATTTATATGTATAATAATAATTGATGAAGACGAATAGAGATTATCCTCTATGAGGTTCAGGGTATTGGAATTATCCCGAGGCCAATATAATATATCTGGCCGAGGGTCGTAGGTCCCGAGGGAAGATATTTTCTATTGGCCAAAGGCCTTAGGTACTGAGGGAAGATATATTATATTCGCCAAGGGATAATCCTAATAGCATGAACTGACTATAGGATGATCTGTTTATCCTATATCAATCTTTCTTATCTGGTTCACATTGTTCAATTGGCCAGAGTTAGAAAGAATTCAACCATGTGAATGTATTCATGTCTAATTTTGTTTTCTTGGCCTTAGGAGGATTCTCCTGTTTTTTAAGTATTCATCTACATATTCTCGAATCATTGATTATTAACATATGTATTAAGTATGCTACTTCCCTCATTGCTAATCATACACAAATGATGATTATGACTTAGTGGGCAGGTGTAATATATCTGCCCTCTCAGGCCGGGACATTAGCTATATCTGCCCGCTGATAAAAATGTAAGTATTTATAAACCTGCTATATGTATCTGAAACATGTCCAAGTATGGGACAAATGTATCTACTTTTTTTTGATTTCATACACTAAACAGATTTGTTTAGGAATTATTTGAAGTATTTCAAAAACATATATATATCTTTTTATTGACTCTTTAGATGTCATATCATGACATATTAGTCACTTAGGTAGAGCAGTTCTTCCCATTGTCGAGTTGAAGAACTGGTAACTTTATCCTGGCGAGAACCATAGACAATTCTAGCCAGCGCCAGCCTTTTATCGAGTTAGCAGCACTCTAGTAATCGCCGGTATAGGTCAGCAGTCATAGGTCAACGACAAATCACAAGAAGTGCTGTGACCTGGGTTTGAACCCAAGACCTCTTCTTTTCAGCTTGAAGCCAGACTTCCTGCTTTTCAGACCAATGCCTTAACCACTAGGCCAACCCGGCGACCACACCGAACCACTATTGAAGGAATCATTGAAAATACAGCATATCAGAAACATGTGTAAATTGTTTATCTTGCAATTATTTTGCAGAGAATAGCTTTTTTGTTACCTATGAGCCAATGAATGAATGGATGCATTTTATTATAACTGCAAAATGATGCTCTATGCAATTCATACGAAAAATTAATTTTTCCATATTAGAATCAAGTATAATCTTTAATCCATTGGATAGATCATGCATTGCCTGATGTTGAGGTATTGATAAAAGAATCAGCAAGTGTCTGATAGATTTTAGTGTTATGTATTAGGCAAAATATTAGGAAGGGTATAAATGGTCTCCAAGCTTTCTAGTTTTGAGTATTACGTCTTCTTGCTTTGATTCAAATTATCCACGGTCACTATTTGTAATCCCTCCCTCCTTCCCTATTTAGGCCATGGATATGAAGATGATTTAGAGGTTATGTGAAGGATACTAGGGAAGGGTTGATAGCCAGAGTTATATTAGTTCATTTAAGTTTAATCATAAATGTTATGCAATTCACACTGGCATCAAATATCATACCAAAAGGATTGAACTGTTCATTACTTTTCAATTGCAGTAAACATGGTAAAATGGTTCTAAATATTGAAGCCTGTTGAACAAGCATATTAAAGCTGGACTACGCTCCGAAACGCAATCTTGGGTTGTTTCGGGGGTGAACTTTATCATTTTGAGCTTAATGAAAGATTATAGAATGATGAACAAATGGGGCAAATCTTGTGTAGAAATACTTACGATAAATGTGTCATTACAAAGATTTTTCATTGAATTTGCTTCGATCGGAGTCGGCGATATGATTTTGGAAAGGTTTCTAAATGAAGAACGTGACATCACTTCCGAATCATAGCATTCAAAATAAGTAGAGTTTAATTACTTCCATCATTCATAAAAATACGGTGGTGTAGCGGTAGAATTCTCGCTGAGCACGCGGGAGGCCCGGGTTCGAATCCCGCGGTCGCCTTTTTTTTTTTAACTAAATGATTGTTCTTTGATATTACGCAGAAAAAAACAATTTTTATTTACATAAACTTTATTTTAGAGCTTGAAAATGTAAAAACAATATATGTCAACATATTGCGTTTTGGAGCGATGTGCAGGTTTAATTAATTGTAACTCATAGCTCTAGATGACTTGAACTTATCCATACATATTCTAGGAACAAGTCAATGAATAAGTAAGACTTGACTCTTGACAGACTTAAAAGACTGAGGACCCTATAAGACTTAAACTAAAAGTTCATTTGACCATTGATGACCTATGATAGGGAAGGGTTAGGATAACACTTATATAAAATATTTAAAGTGTCTAATAATGATAATGAACATATTACAATGTTACACAACATTAGTAGATGCTAATTAAATGTCAATTATTGTTAGTGTAATCTGCATTTTTCATTTAATGCTGCAACAAGCGCACAAGTACCAAAAAGTGCCACGCCCACTTTTCCCTGAAAACAGCTATGTGTGACTATATTTGATAAATATTATTGATTTATAGGATCATTATATCAACTTTTAAGTGTTTTAGTGTTAATATAGACATAATTTTACAAATTTTGACAAGTAGCAGCCATAAAATCCAAACAGATTTTGAAATATTTCACTTTGAGAACAAAGGGACACATTTGGGAGGGGGTCAAATTGTGAATATTTCGAGATATAAATACTGTTTCTATGGTAACCATATAAGTTAGAGATTGGAAATTTCTGGCACTTATTAACCATAACATGCCCTACCCAATTTAAAACAATGAATATCTGACATACATTAGTATTCTTTTTATTGGGTGGTATTAAAGTACCCCCATGGCTTTTTGGGGGTAGGGGTATAAATTGGTCTTAGGGCCGTCTGCCACCCCTATAGAAAGTCCAACTACCCAGAAAGTGTCCAGTATAATCATACAGATGGTTTGAAATAGGTTGGAATGTGTAACCTTTCATGTAAGGAAGGTTGCATTTTTAGAGCACTTCTACAGAATGGGTTACAGTCTATTAAGGAAAATTGGAAATAATATATCAGGTGCTGCTTTAAGAAATTCAATTGTAATACCACTTGGTCCTGGAGTATATAATCATCCATTCTTCGAGGAGAAAAGTTAAAGTCCAATAAAGTAACGTTTTTAAGGCAAAGTAACGTTTTTTAAGAATGCCTACATAAATGCCTACAAAAATCATCCATTCTTCGTAGAGTATGGTTAAGTATCATACATAAATGCCTACATAAAACATCATCTATAGTCATGTTTGACTTTCCATAATAACAAAACGAAAAAAACGGTACTTTTAAAATGTCAATATTTTCTGTCCCTATATCTTGACACTGTTGTCCTGGAGACTTACCACTTTTCATATTTTTAATAACATTTGATATTTCACTGAGTTCAATATCATTATTTATGGATCCATAGTTGTTAAGACATTCTGAAAAAATGAATAGCACAGAAAACTTGAGAAAGTAACAAAATACACAAACTTGCAACCTAATACCTGATTCCTAATTTGTGAACTGGTCCATAATTAATTTTATAAAGATTACCTTCGTTGTGTAGTATTCAAGAAAATGTTCCATGTCTTTAAGCTCTGGCTGCAGACTCTCATCCACGTGACTCAAAGCCTCACTGACTCTGATGAAAGCCAATATGAACCAATCACTCTAAAATTTATGACACAAAATGATATATTTCTTTAAGAGGTTTTATGACTCAGGCACAGGTCGGCAATAAACATACATATACTTGGTCTCCTAAATGTAAACAGATGTGTGAAAAACTTTCACTAATGTTAACTTCCTGTGGAACAATTCACGCTAATGATAACTCCTTTGCGACAACTCACCCTAAAGATAAACATGGCATGCTAAAGGTAAACCGATGTGTGATAACTCACCTTAAAGATAATTAGTATGAGGCAAAAAATAAGTGTGACAATTCACCATTAATGATAAATTCCTCTGTGACAACTTCACAAGGAGAGTTAATGTGGGACAAGACGAACAGACAACTCACCCTAAATATGAGTTCATGGGAGCCTGTACTGTCCAATGCATCCTTGTACATGAGTTTGGCCACAGACTGGGCAAGAAAAGCCATCACTGTACTAAACATCTCTGGCAGGTGGATGAGGCTGGCCCCCTTCAGTTTCTCCATGGCAGGTGTAGCATCATTCATCAACCAAACTGAAGTTTTAAACATATTTATAATACAAGGAACATCTTATTATATGTTAATTAAGGTCTGCTGATTTTGGACCTGCTTGCCATAATATCCCAATGCTATGTTGCCTCCAAATCAATTTTATTATGGCAGATACATATTTTTTTCATGATATTTTGTTTATTCATAATTCCCATTACACTTGACCTGCCTTAATGTGTCATTAATTTCAAATTTATGCAGACTACAGTAACTAACACATGTATGGCTTGCCAATCCATAAATTATTTACCTTTAACGGCTTGTGGTACCTCTGGGAGACTACAGCCTTTCCCAATAGCTTGATCTAACATCAGGTACTTCACAGCAAAATCATAAGGATACTGTAAACATTAAACATGGTCATTGAAACTAAAATGAAATCAAAAAGTTTAACTCAAAACAGAAATGTAATGGTTAATTCCAGGATGTATGCTCATCGTCACCTTTCTACTAAGCTGCCAAATAAACTAATTACAATATAGAACCCAAGTGCTTTAGTAACTATCTATAGTAAATATATTGTATTTCCTTTGAAGACAACATGCACAGAATTGACAGTGGGGGCTTTAGTCAACAGTAAGAAAGAAGGGAGATTTGGTAATGGGTCTTATAATGCAAAGCTATAAGAACATGTAACAACTGTATAGAACCATTGTGTTTTCCACTTACAGTTTGCTGTGTGAAGTCAATGTCATCTACTGCACCAGTATGAACCAGCACCCTCTCCTCTAGCACCTGTATGTTACAGAATACAGCTTTGGGGGACATCTCTGCATCTGCACCATACCCTGGGCTGTATATACAAATCACAATATCAAAATATTTGAGTTTGTCCTAATATCTTCACACCAATGAGACCGCCATATTATCCATATTCTTCAGGTGATAGAAAGAATGTTCATAAAAAATATGAAACTACATATACGTAACATGCAAACTGCCTCAGTTCAGAACTGGCTTAAAACCTATGATTTTATATTTCAATTCTGAGTAGAACTATTACCATTATGTAGATTTATGAAGAGCAGTTTTGGTGCAAGGTAATAAAAAGTAAAATAAAGGGATTATGTGTAACCTATATAAAGCCTTAATATTTTCCCCAAGGTCTTAAAGCATTGTAATATTACAAGGTTGGCCCAAAAACGCTACTACAAAGCATGATTATTTAGGATTACATAATGCTGAAAGGTAGCGTTATTTTAAAAAATGTTCCCACCCTGTAAAGAACTAATTTATAACCCACTCCATGAATGTCGGAAATATGCAGTTAGCCTCAAGAAATCCAAATTAGTAATTCCATTTAATGTGCAAAATTCAATGCATGCATTTTTGAACATAATTAGTTTATTTAAACACCCCATCTCAGAAATTCACTACTCTCATACCACAACCTGGGAAAATTAAAGGAGACTTCATATGCAAATATCAGTGCTCAGCAATAAAACTGCAATATACCCTCCTTGCATGTATGCATGCTTATTGCTTATGCCAAAGGGAGAAGTATTGAATGCTATATGGTATGACATACTCACTCCACATTATCATCCGCAGTGGTGCTAAAATAATGCATGACAAGTGTATCTGTTATGATAGACCCGAGGAGAAATTGACAAGAGAAAATTCAAGATGAATATAAGGAAATAAAGCTTGTGTATTTAATATGTTTTTAAAAACTAGAACTAGTGCTATAATAAATTCTCTATCATTTATGTAGAGACTTAGACAACAGACACATTTACAAGTACAACTGTAAGAAAATCTTTTTCATATGACTGAGGTAGTTCTGCACGATGCACATTCACAATTGAGGAAATGTCATTTCAACATTTTAACAAAACATAATGTGTTCAATACTCTACCATGCAACATGTAAATATCTACATGTACATACAAAATGTGGGAAATAATTAAAACCAATAGCATGAATAATAACTAAATATTGTGACCATGCAGATCTACCTTAAGAAACAATCAGAACTTGCTGAAAAGAATGGACCACATGGACATATTTTGTACATACCTGACAAGTGTACTCATGGCTGCACAGAGAGGTTTACAATAATCAACAGCTGTCAGAGTTGGGAATGTCCTTTCTTTATAATCCTCAAAATATTTCACAAGAAAATAAGTAAAAAATCCATTCTTCAAATCTTTGAAAGATAATGATTTCTGTTTCGAGCTGCAAGATGCAAGGATATATGTTGGGACTAATGTTTCCCATTTTAGGATAAATTGTTCGGCAACAAGTTCGGCATAGCAACAATCAACGATCATCACAAAGTAGGATGCAATAGTGCCCTGTATGCAGTTAATAATGTCCTGAATAGTAAGAGTTGTACTCCTAGTGCGCATGCAATCTGCTGGGGCTAATAGCACCTCCCCTGTTTGCAGCTTGTAACAGTGCCCGGAGAACTGGAAAACCAAAATACCATCTTTCCCCACAAGCTGTGACTTGGCTCGTAATTCACATTGTATATTTTCTAATGTAGCTTGTTTTTCTTTTTCACTCGAGAGTAACGTGGAATTTTTCTGAAAATAGCACATTATACCATCAGTGTAGGGACAAATACATAACAGTAACAAAATCACACCTAGACCTTAACATTACTCCTTAATTCACATACTTCCGACCAAAATGTCTGTCTAATACACATTGGTATGAGGGACAAGCATGTACTACAGGAATTTAACATTATTGCAGTTACCTCTGGAATGTCAAATTTCTGGTGTAACACAGAGTGTATGAGGTTAGCATCATTGTCTGCCGCTACGCCTAGATGGCCTGTGTCCATCTTCAACTGTCTGCCTACACCTAGTAAAACAAAATGAGACAGACTTTAATCAAAACTGCATACTAGAAATTTTGGAATAAATATAGTAATAGTACAAAGTCACACTTGGTTGCAATACCAGACTATTCTCTAGTTAACATCCTCCTAAGCAGGTGTTCAGAATCCGTACCTCCTTCTTTCTGCCTGCTATAACCAATTTGGAAGCGCCCAGTATTTAACTGAATCATGTGATCTAATTATGTGCAGATGAAGTATACATGATTGCTGTCGCAAAGTTGCGACAGCGAATCAAATTGTGAGTTCTTAATCGGGGAAATGCTAACTGCTTATCGCAGGGGGTAGAAGTATTCTGGATTTCGAAGCCCGGTGATTCGAGGATGCTAGTTAAAGTCCATCTTTTTACAGACTAAAGGGATTACACTTAATATCTACAAGAATCAGTTTTTGAGGTTCATGCCATTCAACTGTTGAACCTAGTATATACATTAATACTGCTATCTCACCTGCACATAATGTATAGCTGGTCTGTGGGTTGAATACCAAGGCATCTTGAGTTGCCAATGATATTGTAACCCAACCTTCAGTGTTATCTCCCTGCGTTTCTTTCAGCTCACCCTGTATTGTTGCAACTGTTCCATGATTGTCATGTGCCTCATTACTGTTCCTTCCATTTATAGGTTGAGAACCTTTGTTTATATCAACATTGGGTTCTGTGGCTTGTTCAATGGTTGGGAGTCCAGGCTTATCATGTTTGTTTCCCATGACATATGACCTATTTTAATAACCTGCAACCTACAAACAAATTCATGGTTATACAAATTGCCCATCAGCTTACATTAACTTGAATGTATTGGGCGCCCGGATTGGGCGTGCATCTTGAAGCTGTAGCTATTTGCATGGGCTTTCTCTAGGGGAATCAGTCTGTCAGTAGGCCTACTGGAACTAATAATTGAAAGTGTCTGCTGACTAGTTATGTAGCGAATGTAGATTGGAACATTAAAACTCAAAATAGACACTGACTGTAAGTAACATTTGCAACATACCATTCTTGATGGACAATGTGATAAAAGGGGTGTGTAATTTTTTGAAAATAGAAGACCTGGTCCATTCCCAAGCTCTTTTGTTACACTCACCTTTCTTCCCCATATGTCTTTACTTTGTTTCAATATCGGAACAAAAATACCGTGTTTATCGAAGCAAAAGAATGAAAAAATATATTTATTTTGAAAATGTCAAAATTTGACAAAGGTAATTCCCAATAGCCATGACGTCATATTTTAATTTCCCTTTTTTGTGTTGCAGTTTCAGGGTGACTCTATCGACCAAATATCGAAGATAAAATAAAAAAATATTATATTAATAAATTGGAAATTAATAAATACGCATTTTAACAGTAAAATACCATTGGTGTCGATTTTAGTTTTATACGAAAATGCGGATAGGATTTCAACTTTGACCTATTTGAAAAACAAAAACACAGATTGAGTCGTTTTCAACTAGGCCCTATTGATAATAAAATGCTAGTCTTCGTTATACTGAACACTTGACAGCAATATGAATATATTCGGAAGATCAGGTGAGTAACTGGGCAACTGTGAAACGTAATATCTTACATTTATATTCTTTGAAATATCTTTAAAACTGCACTGAAATCCTGAATTTTTGAATGTTCAATTGTGTTGTCACTGATTTCCTGTTCTCTCTTTTCCTGACCTACATGTATTTAGTAGTATTTCCATTTCAAACTCAGACATTATCACTTATTTTTGTTGTTATATTGTTCTGCTGAGATTAATTTCAATGCTGTTGACACCTTTGACCCTAGTTCAACAAGTTAAACCCAATACCACGGCTTTCATTTATTAATCTGAATGTTCTTGTTGCCGTGATTGGGTTTAACTTCCGTGCTATGCTTTCATTTGTTGCAAATCCTCACTATCGCTTATCATCATCAGCATGTTTAGGAGGGTAAGGTTAGTCCTGTGTTGTCCTCCCTTCTGGTTTTATTATTTACATGGATTCTTATGGGGCAGTTTTCAATTTCTTTGGTATTTTTTTTCCCAAAGACGGTAGTGTGTGTAATTCAATGTGACAGTTGCACTAAAATTATTTTGAACATGGGCAAAAATACTAGTGTAATGTGAACTGATCATCCTAGGTTCCCTGTGATCTTACATGTCTGGGTAGTAGTAGGCGTCGACCTTTGCTTTGAAATCGTCTAATGTTAGGGCTGTAACTATGTTCTCTGGGAGGTTGTTCCAGTCGCCTACTGTACGTTGACTGAAGAATCCTTTTCTCAGGGCAAGGTTACATCTGGATTTGTAGAATTTCTGGCTGTGGCCTCTTGTGTTGGTATGACTTGGGGTAAAGAAATTGGATGGCTTTATCTTGTCTATGTCATTCATGATTTTATATACTTGAATTAAGTCTCCTCTTTTCCTCCTATATGTCATGGGAAATAGATGTAGCTGCTTCAGTTGTTCTTCATAAGACAGGTCAGTCATGCCGGTGATGAGTTTGGTGGCTCGCCTCTGTATTTTCTCAATCTTGTTAATGTCCGATTGATATCTGGGATTCCAGGCAACCGTGCAGTATTCCAGGTGGGGGCGGACTAGAGTCGTGTATAGGGGGAGGAAAATATCTGCATCTTTGTTGGAGAATGTTCTTTTAATTGCACCCAAAATCTTATTTGCTTTATTTACACAGTTGGAGACATGGTCATGGAACTTTAAATCCTGGTCGATGGTCACACCAAGGTCACGTTCTTTGGTGACTTCTTCCAGTGGTTGGTTGTCTAGTGTATATTTGTGGTTGCTGTTATTGTTCCCCAGATGGAGAACTTTACATTTGCTGGAGTCGAATTTGAGGAGCCATTTATCCAACCAGTTGACAAGTTCGTTAATATCTTCTTGTAGTTTTGTGATGTCGTCTTGTCTGGGTATAGCACTGTACAACTTTGTATCATCGGCGAAAATTTTCAATGTGGTTTTAACTTTCTCGGGAAGATCGTTTGTCAGGAATGCAGTCAGCCACTTTAGAAGATTTCCCTTGAAGCCGTAGCTGTTCAGTTTTTCAAGTAGTCTGCAGTGCGGTACGCTGTCAAACGCCCGGGAAAAGTCAAAATAGATTACGTCTATTGGGTTGCCAGAATCGAGTAGACTTGTCCAATCCTCAAGTACCGTAAGCAGCTGGGTGCTACATGATCGCCCGGGTACAAACCCGTGTTGGGCATCTGTTAATAAGCCCAGCGTCACCATGTGGTTTACCATTGCGTCCCTAATTATGGATTCCATGGTCTTACACAGGATACAAGTTAGCGATATTGGACGGTAGTTGCTGGGAGCTGTTCTTTTACCCTTTTTGTGGATGGGCGTTATCTCGCCATCTTTTCAGATTGGTGGTAATGTTCCTGAATCTAGAGATTTGGTAAAAAGCAAACTGAGAGGGAGGGCTAATTCTTGTGAACATTCCAGTAGAAATCTTGCAGGAATATTATCGGGGCCGGGGGATTTGCAGGCTTTGAGCTTTTTGAGTTTATGTAGGACTAGTTCCTCTGTAAATTCTATAATTAAACGCGCATGTAATTCTATGCGCTGCCATAGACCACCATTAATTTTTTTGCATCAAGAGCCGAATAGGCACGGACGTTAAACCTAGGGTGGGCCACAAGATATGTCAGATAAGAAATAAGGCCCAGACTAGGTTTAACTTGTTGAACTACTTTGACCCAAGAATAAGCATGGGGTTTCAATTACCATTGGCAAGTAAATCTAGTGTCTTATTTGACATATCTCAGGGGCGGATCTGGGAACCAACAAGGGGGGGGGGCCAAACTTCTGGTCTGAGAAAAAAAAAATTTTGGGCCCCTAAAACCAAAAAGTGGGCCCAAATTTTGAAATTTTGAGGCCCATTTTCTTCAAAATTTGGCCTAAAATTAAAAAACAAGGCCTTAGAAGGCCCATTTATGACCAAAAAGGCCAACTTTTGGGGGCCTTAAGGCTTTTTTTGGCTCAAATTTTTTTTGAGCACACACTTCTGGTTTTATAATCAATGATTTTATCATGAGCTCTAATTGAAAGCCCATGATTTTATCAATCGGAAAATATTTTTTAGAATTTGTCCTATATCTGCTTAGATATGGTGGTATGTATACTTGCGTTGATTGTTAAATTGCAAAGTAGGTAGGGTAAAGAATATGTCAAAGTTGTTTGAACTCATCCCAAAAGCAATATTTTGTCACTTGTATCTCCCAGAATTCCTTTAATATCGGTATATTGAGTTTAACTTGTTGAAGTAAACGAGAGTCTGCCGTCTTAGATTTGTAGTGCAAATCTTAAAGATTTTTTGAGAAAGCTCTAACTCCACACTGTGAATAAATTGAGTAAGATTTTGTGAGTAAATGCCATTGTTAGTACATGTATGATCATTGGTTTTCATCCCATTGTATGATACATTCAAAGTGACTTACTTTTTCTGAGTATGTACGTATGTTACAATAACCCTGATTTCACTTTACCGTAATTATATTGGCTCAGAGTCTGCCGAGTTGCCTCGAAACCTCAAAACTGAAAATAAAGATCCTTTACTTTATTCTTCCTAATACTATTGGCTTTTTTTCAATATTTTGTCATTTGTATCCCCCAGAATTCCTTTATATCTGTATATTGAGTTTAACTTGTTGAAGTTAACGAGAGTCTGCCGTCTTAGATTTGTAGTGCAAATCTTAAAGAATTTTTTGAGAAAGTTCTAACTCCACACTGTGAATAAATTGAGTAAGATTTTGTGAGTAAATGCCATTGTTAGTACATGTATGATCATTGGTTTTCATCCCATGGTATGATACATTCAAAGTGACTTACTTTTTCTGAGAATGTACGTATGTTACAATAACCCTGATTTCACTGTACCATAATTCTATTGGCTCAAAGTCTGCCGAGTTGCTTCAAAACTGAAAATCAAGATCCTTTATTCTTCCTAATACTATTGGCTTTTTTAACACTGTTACCTTTCTCCTTCCCAATTTGCCATTTAACATGCTGTTGAATACTCAAAGAGGACTTTAATTAATAAGTATTGATATTTTGTTCACCTTTGATGAACTTATTGGTTTGTTATGTCTATTATGCAAGAACACATTTATCAGTAATTAGGGAATAATAAGACAATCTGGCGATGTTTAATAACATTCAATCTGATTCTGGATGTTTGCCATTTCATTAAGATCAGGGTCACATTATTTCCATAGATTCATTTAGAGTTCTTGCCAAAATAAACAGAGTCTGAAAATACAATGAAATATTAACATGCAGTATATATTGCACGCATGGATGAATTGTAAGGTCAGTACATGTAGCTGCTGCTACATGTCAGGTGAAAAATAACAGAAGTGCTTTTTTCTGTTTGCCAGATAATTAGTTCCCTGCCCCATCACAAATATAGCAGAGAAAATGATCTATAATATCTAATCAAATGGGGGTATTAAAGATAGAAAATTTACTTCGACATTACATAATCAGCACCATCTATCTTCTATAATATACTGGACTGGAAGTCTGGTAACTTAAAAAAAAAATTTTTGAGTTTTTCTATACCAGGCGTTTTGATTGTAAAATTCAGACAATTTAAAAAAATTACATGTATTACCATACCAATCTCTGATTGTCACATATGAAAATGACAGAAGAGAGGTTTTTAGTGGAGTTTTTTATAGAGTTTCTGGACCTCCCCATTACTTATTTCATCTCTTTAAGTAGAGGAGGTCAGGTGTGTGGAGAGGGGGCAGGGTAAAAGGGATGGAAGCTAGACCAAGAGGATCGATGTATATGTTTATATTGTTGTATTTGTAGAGTTGAGTCCTGAAGAGTTGAGTAGAGAAGATTGGATCAGGAAGACTATAACTGCAGAGTTTGCTGGAGCATTAAAGGCTTTACAGAAAGAACATATCAACAAAGATGAAGTCATTCATAGGTAAACATTGTTTCAATGATCAATTCTTGCTCTTAATTATATCCTAGTACATGTATAGCAATCCTAATAGGAATCAGAAAACTGATTTAAAGATTCAACAATTAGTGCAGAGACATTACCAACGATCATGGACCAAGTGTTAAAATATATCGAAGTTTGGATATTTCATCAAGGCTAACATCTATTTTCATTATCTATAAAGAAACCCCCTGAATGAAAATTATTTCAGCTGAATTTCCTGCAGTTAAAATCTTGAAATGTATTATATCTTAAAAATCTATAAGTGGGACTCCTCTTCTGAATTTTTTCAATTTTTCTCTCTACAGGCCTTGTTGACACTTTAACTGAAGAACAGACAGTATGTTTGAGTTTCTGTGAAATATAATTTGGTTTGGTAAATTTGGTGAGTTTTTTCATGATTTAAATATAAATGAATTCATGGTTATTTGTGATATTTCAAGATTTGTATATTGTTTCTGTATCAAAACTTTTTTGAACTCCAGAAGATGATTAATGAGTAAGTTGTGTTATTGTCCTTTCTAGTGGGGACCATGCCAATGCAGTATGCAGTGCTTTGGAGGCTGTTTTCCTACATGGCCTCAAATCATCCATTGGGAGTAAGGTAAGAGAACACCAGATAAAGAATGTAATCCTACACGCACTATGAGAAATGCCAAAATCAAGGCTTCATTCTGGAACAATTCCTCAATTTAATTCATGAGTCTATAGTTATCTTATTCATTTATCATGGTTTCTATAGTTACAGTGTGGGATTAAACAACAGACATCCGATGGATGGATACTCCACATACCATGTATGGATGACATGTATAAATTGCTCCTCCTACTATTTCAGATCTCATCCTACTTAGGAGGACCTACCCCTGATATCAAGGAGAATGAACTGGTAAATGGCAATATGTTTTCTTTGTCAATCAACATAGGTGGCAGCTGGTTTCATTTTTCTTTTTTGTGCATTTCTTGACACACTGCCTTACAAATTCAATGATGGTTCTGATATGAAAACCTTGAACTCATTAGATTTTGCATTCATTTTTGATATGTACATGTATGTATTGTATTATTCTATGTGTACTGTACATTGTTTCTGTGATACTTGGGTCACTACAATTATTTATTTGTTTGTACAATAGTTCATTTACTTATTTGTCTGCTAGATACCAGATTACCCTATTTTAAATAAAAAAATGCTCGTAGTATTTTATGTAGTCCCGAGTCATATGTATTAAATAATGAAAAGAGAAATGGAAATACATAGTACCTATTACATATGCAATTGTATTGACAAATTATTATTAAGAAAATTTTATATTACTAGGATTTCTGGAATTTCCTGTGTAAGTTCACCCACAAGGATGTCATATCTCAGCTTACCCATCTAGGCCAGATCACAACAACTGTTGGCATGTGTAGGGTAAGTCTAAACTGTTACAGAAAGTTCTATACCAGCATATAGGATTGTAGACTATTGTGGTTAACTTTGATTCATAGAATATTCATGTATTAAAATTGTCCAGTAAAACATTTTAAGGGGAACATCTCTAAGTGGAACACTTTTTCAAGTCCTGATGCCATTGATTTTATATAAAGTGAACACCTGTAGGTTATAAGGCTTCAATGTGGAACTCTCTCTTGAGGAACCACCAGTGTTCCACATAATACTGGTTTTACTTAGTTGTGTTATACCTAAAATTAGGAATGCTTGTATTTCAATTTAACTTGAGCAGGGTTTATATTTTGTCAATGTAGGCCTGGGTCAGGATGGCATTGAATGATTATCTCATGGAGAGCTACCTTGATGCAATGCTTAAAGACAAGGCAACTGTCAAGTAAGTGGTACTCATCCTAGTAAAGCCATTCACTTTCTCTATCTACAGTGTACTTCCATATTGTGATTTGCTTGAATTATTAAGTAAAGCATATGACTGACTTATTCAGACAAGCTTTGTTTGAAAGTTGTACAATAAGAATATAAATGTGAAAGATCCGAATGAAGGAAACATAAAAAGTGAGTTATGATTGTAAAATGCTTCTATAGAGGCTAAATCTCTAATTAAGGTGGGGTCAGGAATATAATGACGGAACATAAGCCATCAGTCTTTATTTATTGAATGATTGATTGATCCATTAACTTGTTGCTTGATTGATTGGTTGATTGATTACTTGATTGCTTCATTTTAGATACTTCTATAAGAGGACGTCATATCTGCGGGATGAAGAACAACCAGAAATTCTGAAGTCATATCTACTAAGTTTGACTTCATACTCTTTCCAACTCTCCTACAATTCTAGTGTCTTGAATATTTGGACCCCCACCCCTTTGATACTATGTGGGTTACTGGAGTCCCAACCAACGCCAAGGGCAGTTGTATCAAGGACAGGTATGTATGTGTATGAACAATTGCTGATCGTTCTGATTTAGGAGAGTCCCTCTACATCAATCCCCTTAAAGGAACATTCCTTGCCAGACTATTTCTCCCCTGATATGGTAGCTACAATCATATATATACTTTACATATTTAGCAAAACATGGGAAAATGTTTTCATATGGTCAATATTGATCATTTAAAAATGTAGTACTCATTCCCAGTAAGCTGCCATCTTTTCAGATTTCTTTCAGGAAGTGATGTCATCGACTCTCACCTGTTATAACCTTGTCTATTACAGTATAGGAAAGAAGTACAAAATCTCTTCTAAACAAGAAGCCCTTATCTTCTGTGTAAAAATATGTTCAGGAGTTGTCAACTTAGAACTAAAGAAGAGATCATCAAAAGGATTTTAATCGTAGACCAAATTGAAAAAATATTCAGCTGGTTTAGTAATTCTAATAGCTCCTTACCTAATGTTATATGCAAAGTTGAGAGTCACTTCCTGAGTGAAATTTTAAAAGATGGCAGCCTACTGGAATTGAGCACTACATTTTTTAGTGATCAATATTGACCATTTCAAAACATTTTTTTGTTTTTTGATAAACTTGCAAAGTATGTATATGGTTATAGCTACCATATTAGGAGAGAGATGGTCTGGCAAGGAATACCCCTTTAAGGGATAGTAGAGGCGGTGGAACTTACAATCATTGGTGGACAATATTTTATTGTTATTTATACAGTGTACAGGTCCACTTGTTTGGGATAAATTTGAATTTGTTTACACACTTTGAAACTTTTTAATTGAATTGATGTGAGCGTGAGATGAAAGTTTTACTTTATCTTAAATTTTGACAGAAATTTGAATTAAATGAAACCTTATTAAATAACCAAAACCTGAAGCCATTGACGTTCCAGTATTTTTAAAAAAAAACAAATAAGTATGTCTATATTGGCTTGGTTTAGGGTCTCTGATATACACTTTGCTAAAATAGAAGCCATTAGTTTTTGCCTATAGATCTATTCAAGTGTGGCTTTGTATATCAAATGTGAATCAATAAAATTCAAACTACATTCATGGAAATATTAAACATCATATTATATAAGTAGCTAGCTCAATAATTACAACATCCTTCTGGTCATTTTGGAAGCTAAAACATTTCATGCCATGTCTTTATTTGGTCTGGCAGAGGCAGTAGGATGATTTGAGGCTTTAGTTTTGTGGGAAATCTTTGCTATTCAATGGGAAAGAGGAATTAGATGTTTCAAATTTTCATTTATAAAGATAGTGAATGTTAGGATCCTCGGCAACTGGAGCAACAGGCCCAGATTTTATATATTTTTTGTTTTACACATCAACAGGTATTTTATAGCCTTGCCCAAGTCGGTCTCTTTTACTTATCTTGATTTCTATTATGATAATTCAAGATCAGATAAGTAAATAAAATACCGACTTGGGCAAGGCTAGGTATTCTACTTTATGTAAAATATAAGTCATAAAAATGTTCATATTTTGTGTTTTTACTTATTCAGTGTCTGTATCAAGTGCCACGGACATGGCCTGCTCACCCCCTCCTGCTCCTGTCATTGAAATACCCACAGAGGATACGAGTCCTATACATGTACGAAGCACAAAGCCACGATCCCGCTCTGGAAGTGGCCGCCACGGGGTTGCGCCATCTAAACATCACACTGAGACTGCATCTGTGGAAAGTTCCCCTTTGACTGTTGAAAATCTATCCAACTTTTCAACACCAAAGGTTCCACCTAATACACCATATGGAACTGGTGCTTTAACAGGTAAAGACATTGAAGACATGAGAAAGCTAGCAATGGCTGTTAATGCTGTGGCTGGCTCAGAGAGCTCTGGAGCAAGTCCCATCTCATGCCCTGACCCTGATAATGTACGTGGTAGGGCTATAGATGAGTCTCATGTGCTCCAACAGGACCAAATAGAACCAGAGTTGGAACCAATTGAGAAATATGAAGCAAGGATGAAGAAACGGGAAGAAGATGCTGCGATTGAGGAATTCCTCAAGATGGAGAGACAAAAGATTGAAGAGAAGGTTCTAGCTGGAGAGGCTGTGGATGATAAACCTGTTGAATCTAAAGCAGAGGCTGAAAGTAAAGAAGATGCATCAAAAACAGCAAAAGGAACTATAGGTATAGGTCTACCTGATATACTGTCAGAGAGGATAAAATCTGAAGCACTGGATCCTGTCACAACGACTGCTATGGCAACAACTATTGAAACAATACCAGTCACAATTCCATCAAAATTACGTGAAAGTTTTTCGGACACTGATAGTAATCGTGAAAAAGAATCAAATCAAGATGACAAGGGAAGTTCAGAAGATGGTAAAGAGAGTGAAATATTACCTGGAAGTCTGGGTAATAACCTTGGTCTCGGCCAGATGACTGGTTGGTCCTCTCAGTTTGATGGTGACCAAGATGCCAATGATAGCCAACTAAATGATTCTACTGAAAGTCAAACTACAAAACCTAAAGGTAAGTTCGTTTTGCAGCAACCTCAGGAAGCAATTCTTCTTGCTTTTTGTGTTTTCAAGACAGCAAAGCATCATTATTTGATCAACGCAATATTTCATTCAAAAAATCTCATTGAAGGCAATTACATTGATTACATTTGATCCCACCATCTTAGTACGAGACTTCTGCCTGTTTTTACCAAGAACTTCTCCAGTATCTTAGAATATCTATGGAATTTTTGACTTTATATTGTCACTATCAGTTAACTTCATTGTTATTTTCTTCCAACTAACTTTCCTTTTTATAACAGCTCAAAGTTTCCGGTCACTTCTCAGCCAATACACACCAGATGCCAGCACTATTTCTTCTGCCAAAATGTCTGACATTCTCGAACAGCACCCCATTCTCGATGACAACACCCCAGAGGAATCTAGTCCAGTAAGTGAAATATTGTATTTTGTGTGATCTTTGATCCATGTGTCTCTCATACTAGTTCTAGTTCTTTAATACTGAATATTTCAGACTTATGTCTCATAAACCACCGTATCTAAAAATGTCAACTAGATTCATAGATATGAAAATGGAAGCATTCGAATTGATATTTATTTAACGACCCGGGCCTTGTAATGTACTGCACAGTAAAACCTGTATATCCGAACACCTCTCTTAATCCAAACACCTCTCAATATGAACACTTATTCTCAGTCCCTTTTTTGTAATCTCCCATGAACTCATATTTTAAGAAAACAACCTTGAAATATGAAATGCTAATTCAGATATTTTGGCTGGTTCCATTTGTGTCTGGATTAGAAAGGTTTTACTGTATTCAACTGAAACCAGAATTCAAGCATGTGTGCTTTGTACTCTGAAAACTTATATACCAGTGTGTTCGTTCCTCTGTAGCTTAAAATTTTACAAATTAATGTTGACGTGTAGTCTTGTTTGTTGGTTAATCATTCATCTTTAACCATGTTCATCACGCATATACTACAGTTCAGTCACAAAGACAATTGAAATTAACATATCCTCAGGGATATATTGATCTTACATAAATGAATCCTTTCCTTGCCTTTGTTACTTTTAAATGTCTGTCAATATAAAATGTCTATCCCAGTCTAAGCTTGATTATTGCAAATACATATGCATTTCTTAAAGTTGATTACCTCCTGTTGTGTCCCTGTCAGTTTAAATGCTCAGTACACCACTTTTGTGACTCTTATTGACCAAGGCCCCCACTCTGCAACCGCCCACTGTACCCCCACACTTTGAGACCTTGAAAATTTCTGTGCACAACTAGTTTAAAATCCTTAAAAAGCCATATAGTAAATAAGAGTATAAAGTACTTTAAGACCCATGTGATTATCAGAAAATAGTGCAATTGGTCTATTACTTGGGTATACAGTGTATTGATTTGCTGTGATTGTTAGAGTGGTGCTGACATGGTAGATACACCAAGCGACTATGAAGTTATCCCTGTAGGAAGCTCCCCTATGTCTGAATTTGCAGACCCTGTAAGTTGCACCTCTCTGCCATCTGGTTTTGCAATTACAGTGAAACCTATAGAGTGGAACACCTCTAGAAGTATTACACCTCTGTAATGGAACACTCCTCAGAGTCTCAAGACCCAAGACAAACTCATTTAATGTTGAATGAACCTCTAAAAGTGGAACACCTCCAATTTTTTTAGAGGTACCAAATGTGTTCCACTCAGATAGGGTTTACTGTACATTCTTCATACAACTTCATATGGCTTACTTTCTTTTACATTTGATAACCAGAAAGGCTCAAATTCAAAATGCAGTTATGTGAACCGTAGCCTATCTTTGCTTTTGATCATTATGTGATCACTATACTCTCATTGTGGTTAGACAATAAACATGTACTTTTCTATTACAACACTACTTTAGCCTCCCAACCCTTACTGTATCTCATTATACCTGTATTTAGTTAATCCATGTTATATAAGATTAATCCTCAATTTTTGTAATACAGCTGCTGGGCCAAGGGGTGTTTTACCATGAATTTTAAAGTAACCTGGCAATTGTGTTGAGAGTAGCCAGGATGAGGAAGACAAGGCGCTTGCCATGTCGCTTTTTTAAAAACCTTCGGGAAATATTCCTCTGCAATGATGAGTTGTAAATTAATTGTAACTACTTTTATAGATGTTTAATCTTAAATCGTCAATTTTTGATTCAATTGTGAACAATCTCATTATGTAAGGGTTATCATTGTGTTCTATTGCCAGGCAAGCGTTGCAAGGTTTGGAAATATTTTTTGCCTCGTCGTGTTTTTCTTCCTGGCTGATTCGTCACTAATTGTCCATTCAAGGGCATTGAGGCGAGTCTAGCCAAACCCAGGAAACTTGGCTCTGGGATGACTGAAATCTTGCACAAAAAGGAAAATTGATAAACCTATTTAATAACATCGAAAATACCAAAGCATGTGTTTACTACATACCTGTAGCCCATTTTAGATAGCAGTCATTGGTTCAATGCGTGCATGGATAAGGCTGAATGCATGTTTCCTGGGCATCCCATTTGTTTATTTTTCTACAATAGTTTGCATTTTGCAGTGTTTGTAAAATGTGCTTGTGTGCTGTTGATAAAGTTTGATTTGTGTTATTATAACTGCTGGTTCTTGGTTAGCCTTGCCCAAGTCGGTATTTTTTACTTATCTGATCTTGAATTATTACCGGCGGTCATAATAGAAACAAGATAAGTAAAAGAGACCGACTTGGGCAAGGCTAGTTCTTGGTTTAATTTTATTTTAACATATTGTTTTCATGTATCTATTTTGGTGCACCATATTAATATTTTGAGTTTTGACATTAATTTTGAATCATGAAATCTTTAGTAACTTTTCTGTTGTATAAGATAATGTTGATCATGTTTAAATATTTTTAAGATCACATTGGTTAATTCATTGCTTGCAATTTAATCACCACTCTGTAATAGATTTTACCTTTATAATGAAAATATTCTTGAAGGGAAGCTTAGTCCAATTGTTTTAATGCTGCTATATCTTAAACACGCTAATTGCTATTTTTAATACAATATTGGAGCTGTGATGGTTCAAATTATTGAATGAAAATGTTATATTGACCTACCTTCTTTCAAAATGGCGGCCCAAATAAAACATCTTTATCAGTATAGGAGAAAATTATTTCCTACATAGTAAACATATATATCAAGAGAAAGAATTTACATGTATATGACTATGATGTGTTTTATGATTTTTCAACAGATTCCAGAAAATTTGAAGTGTTCATACAAACTTATGTTTGATTTTATGTATTTTCTCCTGTACTCGGTACTCACCATGTTAGATATTAGCTAGGGCTGTTGTGATGGCCATCTTAAAATCTTACAAGAACTTTTAAAAATCAAAAATGGCGCCCACAATAGGTTCTAAATAGTATTTTAGAATTAGTTTAACCCCACATTTAAAATAGTGAAATCAGTCAATCAGTCAATCAGATGTACCATCAATTTATTGAATTGCTGATTCACTAACAGCTACCATAACCATCAGGAGTGATTCAAGTATAAAGTGACTGGTTTCCACTTACTGTGGAGTAACAGATTAACATGAAAAACATACCAGTATAAAGAGCAAAACGAATCTTGAATAGTTACGTTTCTGGTTTGCAAATGGGTGGCAGAAATTTCAAGGGAAGAATAAAGTTGTAAGAGAGTTGCTAAAATGGCTAATGATTGCATTGCTGAGATATCATTTTGAAAATGCTTACTCAAATGCTTATACAAAGAAAACTATGTACCCTTTCAATATATATAATATATTATATGTATATGCGATATCACATCAGATATTACGATGAAAATTATCAAATTCTTTACAACAATTGCATGGTTTTGCTATATTGGTGAGGTACAGAGTGATCCAAAAAAGTTAACCCAAACAAATGTGAATAACTCAGTCATCCAGCTTGGACCTAACTACTGGGAATAAATCAATGAAACTTGAACAAGGTTCAATTGTCAAATATGATTTCAAACCCATGCTGGGTGACTGAGTTATTTACATTTGTTTAGGTTACATTTTTGGCTCACTCTGTATGAAGAGGGGTCTCAAGGGCTTGACACAGGACATTGTAATAAATGCATACAGTATATTATGGTTTCTATGTTATAACAATGTCCGTTGTATAATGTACTGTATATGGCAGACTTCATTCCATTTCTTGTATTGTGTATCATCTCTCAGATTGTTTTGTTCCAGCGAACACAGGCCCTGGTTCAAGTAATAGGCCACATATGTAATGAGAAAGGATTAGACCAGCAGAACTACCAGTGCAAGGGCTGCAGTAGACCAATAGGAATAAGTAAGTTTTGCATTATTAAAATATCGAAGACAATATTGCTTTCATGTTAGCAAGTTGATTTTGTATTTTCACAGTACAGTATTGAAATATCAAAAATAAATTAAAATAGTTGAATTAAATAAAGAAAATTCCCGGCTTTATGGTTTTTGTGACATTTCCAGTTAGATTCCTCCACACATTATTGTGTTTCAGTATATGGGCGCGCTAGAGTTTGCTCTTATGATGGTGCTTATTATTGTTATGAATGCCACGAAAATGATGAATATGTAATCCCCTCACGCATAGTCCAGAACTGGGACCTACGGAAACATAAAGGTAGGCACTTTTAAGGACATTTTTTTTTTTTAATCATTTTATTTAACCTAGAAGGTAACAGTGTACAAGTACCATTATAACCCTCTAGGGTTCTACAATATATATATTACAAATAGCATGTAAACTTAAAGGACATTGAGATCATTATGCATCAACTGAATATTTTATTTCATTTTGTATTGCAAAAACTTTTATATGTTTGCAAGAAATTTGATATGATTTATTGAGCTCCACACACACAATGCCCAGATACACTGTTGACTAATTAAACATAGGTATTCACATTTACTCTCTAGCTATTAAAACCTCTTGGTGCAAACCGTTTTTTCATCAGCAGTGTTCCCCTTAGATAGCTTTAACAGTACCAAATCAAGGCCTACTCTGCAGTTTTTATGTCACCACCAGAAGCGGAGATATATTGTTATTGTCTCCAGATTTTTGTTGAAAGGTGTGGCATTTGGTGATTGACGTTTAGCATCTGTAACAAATGGCAAGTGGTGACATTTCACATGTTCATGCCTTGTTTCTGTTTGCAGTTTGTAAGTTCACCAAAGATTTCCTGCATGAGATTGAGGAGCAACCTCTTATCAACATTCAACAGTGCAATCCTAAACTTTATGAGCATGTCAATGAACTAAATGATATTAAAGTAAGTTACATTCATTTTCTCTATTATTATTTTGGTCTAATACTCATTTTCATAGTGATCATAAATATATGTTGCGCATTAAAATGAATTAGAATTAGCCAATTTATAGTTTTGTTTCTGGAAGATGTCTTCTAAAGGTGTTTTCAAGAGATATTTCAAATCTATTTGAAATTCATCGTCATTGATAATTTCTAGAATGAGTTCAATTTTCTTGTGTTCCTGTACATTCTTAATTCAGTAAAATCTCTTCAGTGGAACACCTTTGGTACTAGATAGTACTTGTTCAGAGGTGTTTCTTTTACAGAGGTTCATTTTACGTTAAGTTAATGGATAACCATCTCGAGATATCACAGCCTTCTCTCAGTTTCCTTGTGCATTGCCAGAGGTGGTCTGAGTATCAGAATGATGGATAACAGGACTTTGAAAATTGTTCCATTTACAAAGGTGTTCCACTTTACAGGTTTTACTGTATTCTCTTTACAACTTTCATTTCCAGTTGCTGAGAACACAACTAAGTTCTCTCAAGTCATATTTATTCACTTGCAAGCAGTCTATAGCTGATGATCTACGGAAGAGGGTCTGGCCCAAGGAGTACCTTTACAACGACATTCACATGTATTCTCTTGCTGTAAGTAATGCATGCCCTCCTTGCCTCTTAAAGTCATTATGGTGTTTCCTGTGTCTAATTACCTCTGCCTGGGGATATTTGGGGATGGGGGAAGAGTTCATATGAATATTCTAAATAGGGCTTCCGCTGATTCAGACTCATTCATTTTATCAAAGATAACTCTTGAATCAGATATTGTGAGAGCCTTTGAAATATGTTGTTTTCTTGTTATTTCCAGGATTTGCTTCAAGTGCAGAATGGGGGTCTTGCTCAGAGTTTAAAGAAGATTATCAAATATGCCAGCAAACATGTCTATGACTGCACCCTTTGTAGTCAGAAAGGATTCCTCTGTGAGATTTGTGATTCCCCTAAAGTGATTTTCCCATTTGAAGTGGAAATAACCATACAGGTAAGATGTTGCTTGTAATTATTAGAAGAAATTTTAAAGGTGCCAGATGAATTTCAAAATGGCCACCATGTTTCATAAAAAAACATAATCTTTGATTACTCAAATACCAGTGGATGGATTTTGTTCAAATTTTATATGGCCGCTATTTCTCAAAACATGTTTTGTTCGGTGGGATTTGCTACTCTGTGGAGTTGCTGTTTTTCTAGTTTAAACATCCCTTCATTGGTAACACTTCATATTGGAAATATGGTTTGAAACACATGCATGTTTGTCACAAGTTCTAGCTTTTGTGGTAGGTGAAGTTGAATTTTGGTGGTTATAGAATAATATATTAGAAATACTAAATTAACCATGACTACAGTTAGCACATTGGCAATTAGCAACAGAATTAGCAATATAACATTTATCATAGCTAAATAAATGTATGTGATTGCATATTTCAGTGCAAAGAATGCAAAGCTGTGTTCCACAAAGACTGTAAACTAGATTCTAAAAACTGCCCAAAGTGTGAACGCAGAAAACAACGCCAAATGAAATCAGGAGGTCAAAGTATCACGACTCCTGATACAATGGATTATGGGTATCTGCCCCAGTTTATCACGCAATAATGAAACTTGGGTCAGATCGACTTCCTGATTGGATGATTCTTTCTCTTGTAAACTTGCTCAGAATATCAATTAATGTGAGGTAGATGTCTGTAAAATGTGAGGTTATTAGGGATGTTAATGTACATGCTTTTTAACTTGAGAACTTGTACGATCCTCTGGAGATTAGTTTTCCCCTTTGGAGTATTACTTGCTCAATAAGTAAAAAGGGCTAAGAAAAGTAGTTGAAACTCTGGAAGAATGAATTAAGAGGGTGACAGCTATCCCTGGGATCATAAACTTATACATTTAAGTACAAGTTCTCTTTAAAACATGTAGCTTATAATCTCCCTATTGGCTCTAAATTGGGAGTCAGCTTGTGCAATATACATGTACATATGGTGTACAGTATTCCAGTGAGAAGTGGCAGTGTTTCAGGGGCCAACTGCTATTGGTGCATGGTGTATTGGTGCATGAACATTTTAGTGAACACTAATTTGTGATATTATAATGCTCAGTCATAATGGAGATATTAATCCTATGTATATTATGTTGCTAGTCGAGGGGGGGGGGCATTCAGTTATTGTTGTTGCCAATTAATAGTAACCAGTTGAAATCATTTATATACCATTGTTTCAGCAACTCTATTGCGTCAACTATGGTATTTTTGTAAAATATAAAGGACAACTGAAATAGGTTTTCTTAACTTGCAGCTACAAAAATGTGGTTTTCTTCATTGTAAGCCCAACTTAGAGTTCTTGCGATAGCCATTATAAAAGAAATGTTAGACAACTGTCAATGGTCAAACATAACATTATAAAATTAACTGATCAATCAGATTGGCCCCCACGTGATTAGTAACGTCATACATAATATATAGTTTTAGTTTATTGATCCCTTGGTAATCACGACATCACGGCAACCATATGATTGTCGTGTTAACAAATAACAAAACATCTTGGCATTATGACATCATGATTTAATGGACTAAAACAGGCCACGTGGGGACCAGTGAGAGATCACGTGGGGGCCAATAACGTCATGACTAATTCGAATATTGCTTATTAAGCAGCTGTAACAATCGTAAGAGTGAAATAATTTTCTACAATACTGATGAGAAAACATGTCCAAATATATATTTTTTTAAATTGTATTGATTCCTTTAGGTCAAAAATACTATTTCATATCTGCTTTAATGTTAGTCAATTCTCTTTCAAGTTGTTACCTGACATATTGTTGATTTTATTAAAAGTGCCTTCTGATTTGATATTTCCAAATCTACGACTTAGATTGTAAACTTAGTTATGTAATTCATCTCTTTTTTTGTATTTTTACAGTGTAATGTTACATTGCTGAAAGAAATGTTATGTTAATTATACAAATTGTTACAAATGTGTTACGATTTGCAATAGCTGTCCATGTGGTGACATTTAGTCATACATGATTGGTTGTACATGTACTTATTACAAATCTACCAAGAAGTGATTAAAGTATGACACCCATTTTTGTAATAAAGTGACAAATATACAAAAACAAATTAAATTATTTGTTTGTTAGTTCGATGGGAAGTGTATGTCTGTTATTATTATTTGAGTCACCATTAGAATAAAATATATTGTTTCTTTATTTACTAAAAGGAAGTGAGTCTCAGAAAAAGACTAATGTCTAATATATCTTTAGATGAAATTAATTTCCGTTAGGCAGAATCAGAATTGTACAGAGTGACACAATTGCAAGCAACATTGACAATTGACCTACCAATCTATTCCTTACAATCTCATACAAATTACAGAGGATTCAAAGTGCAAAAATGGAGGGAACATATTTATTCTCCCAAATGATAAATATGGTAGCCATATAGGCATGCTGGGTAAATTACATGGTGGCCATTTTTCTTTCAAAGTGTGACGAGTCAAAACTGAATTATGGGTAATTTGTCATGTTATTCTCCTGTACATTCTGACATAATCAGTTGATCCATGAAATTAAGATTGCCGTACTTGTTCGTGCTTGCTGTCAATTTTTAGTCTTCCCCTCACAGAGGTGTGGAAAGCTTCAAAAAGGAAGCGGATTTGCAAATGAGACCAATGGGGTGTATGACGTTGCACTTGTATAGCATATACAGTCAATTGTCATCTATTTCATATTATAGAGGTATGGTGGGGGTTCTTACAGGAAGTTGATCACCAAATGAGACCAATGTAGGGTAAGACAATATGACAATTAACTCCATGACTGTGATTTGTCTCAATACAATACTAGTCTGTTTTGTTTTAATTCAGTATGCGCTATGTAGGAGTCCTCATAACAAATTAAACACAAGCTGTATTATTGCCACATGATTATACCAATATTATATGGAATATCAGATCATTTTGATTGTAACATATTATAACACAATAATTGTGAGATGATAGCATTGCCAGTCCTGATATCAGGAAAATATCTAGGTGGTGTTAGGCCAAAAGTAACTGACTAAATGTCTCATATCTTCATCTGTTTGTTTGATGGAAACCACAAGAAGAAAATAATTAAAATCATATTTAATATAAACTTGTATATTTATTTATATTTTATGACAAATTTGATCCATTCATGATTTACAATCTTCATCTTATATTACAATACCATTGCATTGTCAGATTTAGAAATTAATTAGAAAATTTGATGTTTTGACTAATGACTGTACAGTGTATTTCATTATTATCTATTAATCCAATTACAAGTAATAGACCTACTGATAGAACTACTTTTTTCTAAAATTTACGCCCTCATTCTATGGTAATGTCAGAGAGACTATGAGCAATGCAACTAGTGCTGGGTGTCCAGGAATTTTGTGCATGGAGATATAAAACTGTTACTTGTATGTCAGTTTTGTCCTTCAAGTTTCTGAACACCCCTTTAATTAGTTACACTCTTTATCAAATACTATTCTAGAATGAACTTTATTACTAGAGCAAATTCTAATACATATTACTATGTACCAGAACAAATAGTATGAACATGTACATTTACTATGTTCTAGAAACTAGAATCGTACTAACATATCAATAATGAAATAATTCATAATATCAAGAGTTTCATTTCCAACAATATTCTTTCATGTTACCACGCCCTATGCTGAGGTACTATTATATTTCTGCAAGTATGTATTTAATGCAAGTTAAAAATGGGGCCTTGTTGTTTATAAAAACTAACATAAAATCATCAAAGAAAAAACTCCATGAATATTTCCTTAAATCTCAAGTTTAGGATTGTCAGTAAATCTTCATACATTTCCAGCTGAATATAACAAATCATTTAAAAATAGCTCTTCAAAATAGTGTCATTGTATATACATGTACACATTCAAATGCAAGTGAGTATACCACAGTGTACAAAGTACCTGTATTGATATGGCTATACATGTACAGTACATATAGATGCACATAAGATGCTTCAATACAATAATAAACAAAACAAAATATAAGACTTAAAACACACCAGTGTTATATAATTTTAGCAGCAAGCATAAAAATGGCACAAATATGTAAAATCAAATTGTAAAATGTTTTCAGATGCTACTATTAAATGTTGAGTTTGAGTTAAAACTATGTGCCTTGATCTAAATTGATGAAAATTACCTGACTTCATTGCTGATGTATGAGCTTTTCTTTCCATTACATAAAGCTAACTAACTATATGTACTATATCTACATTTCTTTTCTATATATATAAATATTACCCCAATATTTAAAAATACTATATCTCAATTTGAATAGCTATGTACAATAATCAAAATTACAATATGTAATATTAAACTCCGAATCAGCATTCATTCATACAATAAACATATATGTTACATATAACATGTATTTAAAATACCAAATTATATAACAAGAAATTAGGAAAAGAAAAAGTGATGAAGGTACTGTCAGAAGAAACCATTTAATATGCCATAAGTGAATATTTAAAAAACATGGTCTATAAGTTATTGAATGATTTGAAGTGCAATACAGGATATATTCTGCTTGAGAAATTATGTATTGGAATGAGACGAACAAGAACGTTTTTCTTGTGTGATCTTACGCCAAAACATTTTACTTAGGAGATAATCCCTAAGAAATATTCTGTATTCTGTATTGCTACTGAGATTTTCCCCTTCGTACCAATATTTTCTGTATTGCTACGGAGATGAACAATGGGAACAATCTCAGTAGCAATACAGATTGGTACAGCACAAGAACTGACCAATCAGAAGGCTTCATTTTACAGATCATACGATAAAGATTGGTACAGCACAAGAACTGACCAATCAGAGGGCTTCATTTTACAGATCATACGATAATATAAGATATGAGGATAGGTAGGAAATCTTTAGACAGTACCCTCCTGTCATGCTAAGAACCTAAGCTTTAACCATGACTTGGCACAACTAGAATATATACAATGAATACATCAAAAGGATTTGACATTAAAATATTAAAAGAATAAAACATCACAACTGAAAGCCTGCTCTCTCTTAGTTGGAACAAGTTTCACATTTTGTTTTATAAAACATTCATAGTAGATCCAGCAATAGCAGATTCTTCCTACTGTACACAAGGAATAGATATATCTAATGTATATCAAAATAATGTCATTGTTGAGTTAAGAATGTATAATTTCATTAGACAGCATAGGACATACACACAAATGTAATACATTTTAGCATGCATGTATGTCTGTGATCACTTCATTTGGAAATGTAATTAATTCATGATATGATTATGATAAGTTGATATTCTGTTTTAAACAGGTATCTCCATAAACATATTAAGATAAACTCAAACAGGAAATGACTTGTGTTATCATGATCCACTCAAATGCTTTCATCAACCACATACAGTGTATTAAACTTTATATTTCCATTTTAAAAATCAACTTCAATAAAGTTCATTTGTTCAACAGCATAAATGCCAGATAAATGCATATAAACAGATAATAAAAGTCATACAGGAATATCGTGAATAATGGTCAATGATTGTATTATAAAACTATCAACTTCTGTCCATATTTTAATCAGATAGCAAAATTGCAAATCCTTCCAAATCTTCCTCTGAAACTGATACTTCTACAACAAGTGTCCATAACCTCATACAGAGTCCATATCTTAACTAATTCCTTATTATATCATTGTCTTAAGCTAAAAAACGAATGTTTAAGTCTCTGTGTGGAAAGCAGGAGCATTCATACATCTCTCCTAGGATGAAGCATCGCTAGAATCTGCAAGTAAACAAAATCCAGAATATTAGAACAAAGTCCGAAAGTGCCAAACAACTCAACAACCATTCCAAACATCCTAAATGAAAAACATTTTTAGTCAAAATTGCTAACAATTTAATATTTTATATTGGTAACCTTTCATAATGCCGTTTTAACCCTTGTTTGGAAGGTTCATTTAAATTTATCGATACATCTATTATCAAATGCATTGCAGAAGTCTCATTACATAAATCAGTTAAGACTAACCTTTTCCTGGTACTGCAATTGTTGTGTCTGTTTTATCATTATTGTTTTCGTTGTTCTCCATTTCCACATCATTTTCTTGTTTTGGGCTTTGCTCAGATTTTGCATCGGAAGCCTTCAGACCTTCGTATGTGGCAGCCCCCTGCAGTGCCTTCATAAGCCGAGGGGAATCAGCAGGGGAACTTTCAGCAGCAAGGTCGGCTATCACAAGATTACTTTCTTCATCATCATCAGTTTCATCCTTTATAGTCTCATTTTCACTGGCGATTTTCTGACGTTTATCATTGTGTTCATCATCATCAGTTGAGTCGTTTTCTGCTTTACGTTTGTTTGAGTTGTCTGTGTCTGAGTTTGTTTCGTCAGCAGTGGCCTTGGCAATGTTGGTCTGGCTGCCTAGTTTCTCAGCCAGTTTGTTAGCAAGTTTTTGTGTTACAGTTTGATGGTTCAATTGTTCTACACTATTGGCCCTATTTGCCTGCTCTGTAGTAGTTAGTGGCAATATGGGCTTTTCTTTGAGCTTTGTGAATTGTTCACTATGTTTGGAATCATTTTGAGCTGATTTAGATTTGGCGTTGTCTAACTTCTGCACCTTGTTGGATGTGTTAGCAATCTGTTGTTGGACCGTGTGTAGCTCCCGCAGCAACATGTACTCATTCCTTGAGATCCAGATCCCGTTGCCTAAGGGAACAATTTCATACTGCTGGCCATTGAGCAACAGAATCTGTTTCTGCTGCATAGGAGTGTTGGAGAGATCGATGTTTGACGCTGAGGCAGCTTTGATCTGGGCAGCCAAGGCAGATGCACTGCTTAAGGTTGCTTGCGTTGGAGGTGTAGGTGAGCCTGTGGAGATGGCCAGTGATTTATATGGTGGGCTTGCTTGACTTGTACGTGGGGTGTCAGTACCATTTACTGTAGGTGCAATACTACTGGCTTTTACACTGGGAGAAACAAGGCTGGGTGTAGTTGGAGAAACCCCATTAACTGTTGCTCCTTTACTTGGACTAGCCACGTCATCATTATTCTCTGCAAGGGAGATCTTATACGGTGTACTCTTGCGTGACCTCCTACTAGTCGTCTGTGTGATCTCTGGCCTCTCAACTCCTTTAGCTTCCTGGCTTGATTGCTCCTCAGGTTCAACCTTAATAAAGCCTGTCATGGACATGTGCTCGTTGGTGGAGGTGTCAGCTTCAGCAGATGTATAGGACTCATTGTCAAAGCTCTGGTCACTCTGGTAATCTTCCAGCTCAGTCTTGACCATAATTGATGCACTCATTGCAGCATTCTCAATGATTTGATCATCAAACATCTGAAACAAGCAAAACAGTACCTCCATTAGGGATGGTGTCAAAATATCAACAGTTGTAGACATTTCATTTTGTTTTATCCCCCAACTCATAAAATTTACCTGAATAGTGATGAATGAACAAACTGATTCATGTTTACAAATTTTTCACTTCCTAAATATGATTTCTCAATTACCCAAATGCGAGTAAGTAGTTACCAGTTTCACCACCAGGTGGCTGATTCGGGTCAATTAACATGGCAGGTATATAAGAAAGTTCCCTTAAACTTGAATATTATCAATTTAAGTGGCTCAATTTTCATATAACCCTCATGTGTCTGATACTTATACTAATGAAAATATGTCCAGTAAAGCAAAATATTATCTGTCCACTAAAAGAAAAGATATTTCATTTTTTGTGATTTTATAGCATGGGGTCTATGGGGAATCTCCCCGAGCTAGAAGTCACATTTTCAAAGAAAATTAATTTTTCAAAGTTGATAAACACTTTTTAAAACCACATTTCTAGATGTAGTTTTACATGTAGATTTCAAATATGATATTACTTTGACTGAATTTTTAATTTTTAATGACGTAAATCAAGATTATTTCTACTCGCATCTGGGTTATTGACCATTGGGCCACTTCCATTAAACTGGTAATCGGTGTTGAGTAATTAAAATGCTATCTCGAACAAATATTTCTTCTTTAAATAAATTGATTTTCAAGAATAGCCTAATCTTTCACAAAAATTTTTACTTATTAGCAGTTAAACATTTGAAAGTGATTGACAATTCTGGCTTATCAAGCCTTTGCTTCTTTGACACTAGAACATAAATTATAATAGACATAAGGGGAAGTTACAAAACAATGATCTCCACTGTATAAAAGTAAATGTATTATCTTTATTATATAGATGGCAGCGCAGTTCTAAGCATAAAATGAATTGAAGTCCAATTAAAGAGGGCACCATACATAAAGATGCTATTTTCCAACTCTCTGTGAAATCTTTAGTGAATTTTGAAGTTAACAAACCTCTTCTGTTGCATATAGGCCCCTTCTAGCCATGATAGTCTTGTCTCTAATGATACGGTTGATAGAACTAATGCTTGGAATACTACGTTCGTTACAAATGCCATCATCCAACAACCTAAACAATAGATATGCATGGTTAGACATCTATCGCTATATTTTTTTAGTATACATCTAATGGTGGTTAGCACTAGTGGTATGCAGTGAAAAGCATCTTTTGGGGTTTGCCTGTTGGTTAGATCTTTGCCTATTGGTTAGATCTTTGCCTGTTGGTTAGATCTTTGCCTGTTGGTTAGATCTTTGCCTGTTGGTTAAAAATTGGTTAAGGTCTATAAACTTAGTAGAATTAAATGTGAACTACATGTAACAACATCGTTGATCATTCACTGTTTGGATAACAATAGCACAACATCAAAGAGATTCATAATTTGGAATCAATGATTAAGTAAAATGTGAGAAAAAATAAATTTTCAATCACTTTACATAATACAATACTTCTCTTTTTGTATAATGTCAATGACATGTGCAATATGGTTTGAAGACTGGATGACCTGTTATTATTATACACTGTACAGGTTAGCTACATATACTGGTGATAGTCTATGGATTTACTAAGACTATTGTACAAAGTGAATCTGTTAGTTCCCCTAGCTTGCCACCTTTATGCACTCTGCAACTAGAAACTATATGAAAAGGGGTGTTTTCCAAAATAAATATCACCACATTTTGATATTGAAATAAAATTTAGGGCCAGACCATTGGTTTTAATTCTGGGAGAAATTAACATGAGAATGTTTTCAGGTGTATTTCTGGACATAATTTCTTAGAGGCACATCGCACAAGGAGCTGGTTTAACATTCTCAAAATAACTTCTTGTAATGTACATGTACATCAATAACTTCCATGTAACTGAAAGAACAGTACATGTATGGAAAACAACATTTAACACTAATCAGTCCTTTTATAACTATAACATAACATTAAACATTGGAAAACATCCCTCACAAGTTGATATGATTATTTGTTAGCAATTTGAACTGAGTTGTTCCAACATCAGTTCAGACATTGTTTAAATGGGTTTAGTATGGTACATGTGTTGGGTGCAGGTGCCTGTGTCTATATCGCTTACTTTCATCGATCGTAAAGGACCTCGGAGGATGCGGTTGATGCTGCTTATGCTGGGGATGTTATCTACCATGCAAAAGCCATCCTCTACAAGCCTAGGGTTAAGAATAAAGCACAAAACATTAAATCAAGCCATTAAATTCACATCAACAAAAATATTCACTCCAATGCAAGACACATAACAAACACGGCAAAATCAAACTATTGGGCCATGTACAGAACTGGGTTATCTCTATTTAAGAGACTTTACCAGCCCTGTGAACCAGAGCACTTAAAGGGGTAACAAAGACTAGAGAGGAGCTGGAGAATTATCACATTGTCTCTAAACAGGCTAGCAGTTTAGACTTTATTTCTTGATATTTTGGGTTATTTGTAATTAGCCTCCTTTTCCATATATTTGCCTAATCTTCAATTTTGATCAGGTATCTCATTTCTTTTCTCCAGATAATAACATAATTAAGATTGTAAAGGTAGCATTGCCACGCTTTTAGAAAAAATTCTACTCCCTCTATTCTTTGCTGCCACTTTAAGTGGATTAGTTCTTTGCACAAATAACATTACATATAAAAACAAGTGAGTGATTGCAAAAGCTCACCATGTGAGCTAACAACAACGAAAACATGAAAAGGTGGTTGAACATTATTTTATGCAATGTCGTGGAGAACAACACCAATGATGTCATTGGGTATACATATGTAGGTGCCTCAGATCCCTATATACGCACCTGTATCATTATCACATATCCAGTCATCAAATTATTAACTTCCTTTTGCACATTGAATAATTCTTAAAGGTTTTGTCTAATGTTTCTCAAAGAAATAAATAATTTCACATCAGTCTAGTTCAACATATACATCAAAATAGATGTGTTTGCCTTTGAGTCAGATTTTATAAAGCACCTGAAGAGACAAATCACTCTCAAGATTACTTATAGGTATTAGGGTTTCACCACTTTTGAGGGGCGAAGTTTGGCCGTTATTATCAATTTGAATAAAGGATTCATGAGTCTCTTCTACTGCTAACAAAATATGGAGCAGTGATAGGATATGTAAATAAACATTACATATAAATAAAAATATTTATGTCAAAGCTGAGCAATAGTGTTTAAAAAAACAACTTCAGACAGGGCCTTTAACAAAACTGCTGGAAATATTTCGCTTCAATATGAGCTTCAAAACTTTTATAAAGAAGATAAAGATGTACAGACTGAGGGAGACTTACTTCTGCCGAATCTCCCAGGCGAACATTTGGGGGTTAGCCAGTTTGTATTGATTGACTCTTGCCACAACATCAGGGGTGGTGACCTTTGGTTTGCTACCTCCTATCTGACCAGGGTTAATGCTACCTGTACGCCGATACCTGATAAACACATAAAGTGAACAATAACGACAGGGTGGGGTCCAAGAATATCAAGAGAATAACAAAGTCAGACAATAACTTTATAATTAACACATCAAAACAATAAAATGTTTATTTCATTATTACACCAAGACAGTAACCTGTTTTCAATTAACGCGCATTAGCACTAAAAACATCCATAGGGTTTTGAATTTTCTTTCATGGAATAGCCTGAAAGAAGTAAATATGTACTTCCTTTTGTCAAAATGACTGCAGTAATAAATCTGTTAAAGAACCATTCATCGGAGTATGCTTTAAAGCTCTAATACTCAAAGTATATGTTCATATATGAGCTATGATGATCATACATATATGTACATGTATATAATAAAATACTGGATGTTCTTAACCCATTGATTTTCATACCTGTTCAATATTTTGCTGACACAGCCATGAGAGACCTGCAACTGGCGGCTTATTTCACAAGGGCGGATTCCCTGAAGGGCCAACTGCAGAATCTCCACACGTAAATGTTCTGGCAGAGGGCGTCCATTGGTGAAAAGTCGGCCATACTGGTTGACATTTTTCCCACCTGGAAACACAATAAGGCAGGGTTAGAGCTAATAGATTGTTGGGCTATATAATGGAATGTTTGGATGTAACTCGCATAAAGTGTTCCCCAACAGCCTATACCCTTGTCTCAGGCATTCTTTCCCCAATACAAGTTTGACAGAGAATGCAACGGGAAACAAACAGTGGATTGATGCTCAATGTAATGATTGACTCATAAGCCCTTTTAGATATCAAATATGTTTAACCCAGGCTTTAACTTAAAAGAAAATGCTTCACCCAATACTTTAATTGCACTCTTATAACCTTTGATAGCCTTAATATCGATAAATGGCTATTAATATTTTAAATCAATTAAACCAAAAATTTGATTTCCAAAAACTGTCACCGTAATTCAACTTTCAGTGTAGACAGAATCTAGATATGATCCATTTAGGCATGACATCACAATAACAAATAAATGTCACTGGCGCTGACATTTCATGAATATTACCAAGCATCATTTAATTGATTATGTTGCCGTGACAGTTATTCTATTTATATAAGTCAGTTAATAATGGCTACTAATATATCAGTTCTATATGAGTGCACATCCAAGACAAAATCAATTGGTAATGCTCAACACATTACAGAGTCACAGTGAATACTTATACATTGTTAGCAATAAATCAATATGATATAACACAGAGGTGGTTCCAAGAAGCAAAAGTCAATATATTCATGCATCATTGCATCCTGTTTTTCTTTTACCTTAACATATTTGTGGTAAGCCAAGCCCTATGATGCACGATCTGATGTTTATGCCATTATTAGTACAATAAAAGATCTGATATCACAATGCAAATTAATGATATTTACTAGTAATACCTGGGTCACATTTGCTCCGATCCAACGGCCGGCACCCTGCCGATAGAGTGTTTTGTTCAATATTGTATTCAATTTTGAACAACTAATTACTCAATCGGCCAGGCGCTGTAGTGAAAATCGGAGCAATTGTGACCAAGGCATAACTGATAAACCCATATGCGAATTGAAATATCACACTCTTATACATTTTGGAGATAATTATGTGACAAAGCTGGCATTATATAATTTTACTTAAAATATAATTTCAATCAATGAGCTAAATCCTGACTTTATTTTCTACTGTTTCCAAAAATCAACAGACTCGAAAGCCCATGCAAAATGGAGAATTTCTAATATAATTGTTTAGATATTCCCAATTCATCATGAAAAATTCATGGATGATTGCTATATCTTGAATATAGATGGCAATATAATTCATTAACAATAAACATTTCACAGAAAATAAAGATAATATTGCACCTTCTACTTAAATGAGGAAGTCCATCCTTACATGTTAACACTGTCTCATATTAAACAGTTAGTTATACACTGGAATTAGAGTTAACAAAACAGGCGGCTTAGAACAGGCAGCTATTACATGTTTCAGCAATCTCATATTTCAAAATGTAGTTAATGAATTGAATTTTAATCTCTTTATTAACACTAATAACAGACAGCTTAACAGAATCAGATTAGTGAAATAGGCACATGGTGATATATAGCAGAGACCAGTAGACTATGTAGACTTCTTAGACAACAAGCTTATTTCCTTCCAAGTACTAAATCAAGTGGACTTTTGACTATGACACATGGTTGACTTGATAAACCATGAACACACTTCCCTATATAAACAAGCAAAGCTAGAGCTAACATTATTAAAGTATATGAATTAATCATTCACCAATTCAGTATGTTAAATATAGCAACGAATTGGCTTTCAAGGCTTTAAATTCAATACAAACATCACTTGTTAATGTATTACTAACAACCCTTGAGTTTAACACTGCAGTATCTCCATGTAATGTAGGTCAGTCTGATATACAAAATGTGATGAAGTCAGCTCAGAAAAGATCGCTAAAACTGCACTTTTAACCATGCTAACCTTACAATATCTTACACAACTTTGTAACATATGATCACCTGGACTTGTATTAATCATATACTTACTTCCTAATAAAGGAGGATCATCTCCATCATCCTCGTTTATAGTATTTGGATCCTTAGGTGCTATTGGCCTGAAATGTGGCTCAATTTTAATCTGTGTTTTACTTTTCTCTCCAGTGTTGATATTAACTGTTTTCTGAGGTGCTAACTGTATTACAAATACGCTTCTTTCTGAACCTAATGTCTGATTCACTGCCATTGTCATAAAGGTACCTCAACGAAGCAGAACCATAGAAATGATGTTATATATCCTAAGTGTGTGTGTGTATATGTGGCTCTAGTGATTCCCAATATGAGTCAGCCTCTTTATGGTATATAGTTAAAGCTGAGTGGCTGAGCTCGCTGTGTATGACTAGGCTACACTGTGTACACTGTACCCTGTATAATTGTGGCCCTATGCATACACTACACTGATATTGGATTGCCAATCATTTTCTAAGCATGTGTTGTACACAATGACTGGAGACCAGGTGTTTCTGAGATACTAACCAATCATGCAGAAAGCTAACTATAGAAATTAACCAAGCTAGGACTGAATAATGTTATAATCAATAAAGCATATAAACTGTGAATAAATTATGTTAATTACATTAATGGATTCAATGGAATGGTTCAATCAGCCAACCATAAAGTATGCTCCACTAGGTTGGTTAATAAAACAAAATTACAAAACCAATATCATTCTTTGAAACGTTACAGGATCATTGTTGCGTACAATCTCTTTGCTTGACATTTCGGTTCCATGAAGAACCATTCAAGTGAAAACAGGGACTTAAGACTAATTCAATACAAAATGCTTTGAGTCAATAAATGAGTGGGTACACACTGTTAATAAAGAAAATGTTTCATTCGTAACTTAAGACTTAATCTATGGTGTAAATATTATTTTCCAATCAACCATGTGATTTCTTCCTTGTAAGCAGTGAAGTGAGAGTATTGCATCCAGGCCCTTTGTACCCAAAGTACAGTATAGTACAGTACAGTACAGTACAGTACAGTACAGTACAGTACAGCACAGTACAGTACAGTGTAGTACAGTACAGTGCAGCATAGCGTACATGTTTTCTCTAAGTGAATGATCTGTTTGATACAATGTTCACAGTTAATGATGGAATGTTTGTGTTTTGGGATTAAAATATTATTAATGATTGTTATGCTCATTTTAAAATATGATATACTTGTTAAAGAGGCTACATAGTTTTGTTTTCTGCAGGGTATTAAGAATAGAAATATTTTCTGGTACATTTTGCAAGGAATGTGAATAAATAATTTTTTTAACTTTTGTAAGGGATGAGAACAATTGGTATCAAACCTGCCAAAAACATCCAATTAAATATTAAAATATCTCATTTTCACATTTTACTTTTCATTGGTGAGTCTTAATTAAAATATGCATTTCTTAAGTACATTATTACTTAAAATCTCAAACTTCTCAAGCTATGATTTGAAAAGCTTCATCTCACATAGTTCTCGACATAGTTCCTTATTACCCCTATGATGCCCCATTTTTAAAATCTAAGTAGCTTGCAATTTGCAAAGAATACTGAAAATTTGAAGCAAAGTCTATTGATAGTGCAAGTTATAAAGCAGTTATGAGACTTTTTAATAAGGACTATTTTGGTATCAGAGTAAGTGACTGAGCAAATTTAAGTTCAGATGAGGGTCATTCCTGTTCATCAACCATAAATTATCATGATTATACAGTTTCTACGATTGGGTAAATGTATTTATTTATTTCTAAATTCACCTCAGATTGAAAGTAAACTTGCTCTTTATTACCCAGGTGACCTTATAATAATGATAATAATGATAAAGGTACACTGTATCTCGGGAAACTTAAATTCTAAGGTCAATGAAAAAGGTTAATGTTATCCTTAAGGAAATTAATTACCTTAAAAATTCAAAGAAATACTCAACTATATTGGAGATGAAGACATAATTCATCATGGCATATTATACAAAAAATGGCTCAGCAAATATGAGAATTGTCATCATAAAAATTCTTCTTTGATTTATATTAATCATTACATTGTCTGCAATTTGATAGCTGATTAAATGTGATCAAATGACAGTACTCAATGCATTGATTACTAAACATGAACAACATGCTTGTTAATAGTTTTGTTTCAATTGTCTTTGGGTTATAATTGGCCAATTATCGAAGTGATAAAAAACGAGAGAAGTTTAATAAAAAAACTTTGGTATCAGATCGACCACCGTTCTTTTGTTTGAATATAAATCAAAAAATTCAATGAGGTAAACACTCATCACTTTTCAAAAGTTTATTTTAACTACAATTCAAACATGAATGGGAATAGACCAATCTGATTGTTGCATTGTCCTTTTAAACACATCTGACAAAAGAGACACAATAATGATACCCACAGCCATTGTCTTTCCTCTTGTAAAAGTCAGAAAAAGAAGAAGCTGGTCAAAGAGCTTAACAAGTACAATGACAGGATAAAAATGTTAATCTGATTAAACAGATAATGTCATATTTATAACATTCATCATCTCTAACTTTTCCTCTGTATTTTCTAAAACATTATCTTCATCGCAATTAAGAATAAAGCAATGAATGTTGTAAACGTATGGTTGAATCTAAAAACTGCTCTCAAGAAAGCATCATCCATGTCTTTTGAACTTGACAAGTAGTCTCATAAATCATTTGAACCTGATGAATATACTGTACTATAAGTATGAAAAAGCCAAATTACCTATATATGATCCTCAGATCTTCACCACATAAGCAAATGTTAACTCATTTTGGATTGGCTTTCATTTTAGATATTCTAAAGAACTGGCTGATATCAAAGTCTATTTTGATTATGATGGAGAAAGTTAAAGATCTGTATAAAAATTGGGGTAGTTAGGATCAGAATCATGGCTCTGCCCTTTTTAAGATAATTATTATCACCGTAAGACATTTTCATAAAAAATTGCAGGAAAACCTTAATAATACAAGGTTGCACACTTGGATGACTTCAGACATGTCACTTTGAAGATTAATGAACCAAAATGAACCTATATATTTGTACAATATTTTGGGAGAAATGTTAATAATCATAATCTGTAGTTCGATCACGTTGCAAAACCAAGCCCCATGAATTGGAATGAAAGGCTTTTCACTTCGCCACACCAGTGTGGTTTTATGTGGGTGCTACAGATTCCGTGAACAAAGACGATATCACGTCAACTCCTTTGTGTAAACGCCGTCAACCTGAACAACAGTGAAATATTGCAAAAAATTACATCCTTTCTAAAATGTATTCAACAACCATGAAAGGCGTCGTAAAGTATGAGAGTCTGACAGGGATAATTGCTGTTCCGTCCAAGTGTGAAATACAACCTTGCGAACATTTAAGAGGAATCTATATTTGCACAACCCCTTTCAAAAATCAAATTGTCAAATCTTTGAAAATTTATTTTGGAATAAAATCATGTAATTCAACTTAAATGCATGCATATTTTTTACTGTTTTTTTGTGTTCCTTTGACAATTTTTTGGAAACAATCTGCAAGAATCCTTCCCATCAGCATTTGAAACCCTGAGGTTTTGGGGGAAAACAGTTGGTCCCGTTTCCAAAATAGTTTCAAAAACCTGTATCTTTTGATCATCCAATACACGGTCTTGTGATTATGAAAGCATTGGAATGAAAAGAAATGACCTTAAACACAAAATAGAGTGACAACCATGCAAATAACACATTTGCAAAAAACTTGAATAAAACCTGAAGTATGACTATTCATAAAACAGGTTTACATGATTCAATGGCTCAGATATTCACCGTGGCAACCTCGCTGTGTTATGTGTGCAGTAGGCGTAAACTGTTTTCATCTCACTGCGTGGCATGAATCGTGGAGTGGATCGGGACTATCAGGCATAACCAGCTGCCTTGTTTATAATTACCACTCCATCCATTTTGCTGATTATTTCCATAATAGCCCATTTGATCTTCCTGTTTTTAGAAATATTTACAAACCCTCTGGGCTCGTCATAGAAATGCTCAATAGAGCGCAAAGTAAATGGCGGTGAGATTAATGTTGGATGTATTGCATGAGGAATAAAGGATCTAGCAATTGCCTCATAATACGAGCACCACCGGTGCAGAAACTGTGGATGATTAACCGTGTTAGTTACCATGGCAACTGGCTAATACCCAAATACCCACTGAGATTGAAAGTAACTTTGCATGAAGCGAGACCAGTAGAGCGATATAATAAGTTCCTGCAGACCTTTCTGCCCTTGCAGACCCCACCATATATTTAACAATCCAGCTAAAATATTACCGATTTTTTCAGATAAAATATCAACAATTTCTAAGCTATTAAATAATTTCTTCTGAATGAGAAAATGAGTTATGTCATTTACAGGCAAGATCACAAATGACACATGTGAACTTTACACTATATGATAAGAAGGTGAAATATTATTACTAAGTGATATGAAGCAGCCTAGGGAGAGGAGAATGTGCAGCTGAACGTGGTCAGATATACACCACCATGCATGACAATTACATTCATATATAATTAAACAGCAGATTGCAGAAAAACAATCGCAGTCGTTCAATTATATGTGGCATGTGGGGTAAATTATTCACTAAACTGTTGTCATTAAAACTCCCTGGTTCATATGTTAGATGTGATTCCAACATGGTATATGACCATGCAATTAGTCCATCTATTATAAAAACAATATTAATCCATAAAACTGATCAATTTTTTATTCACATTGATTTGAAGTTTTTACCAGGATTAAATAACATTAGCGTAACAGTTTAATTTTCAAATATGACAGCTTCATACCTTGGAAATCCAAAGTGATGTAGTCTTGCTCCAAGACCTTGTCAACCCATATCCTGTATACCTCACCTATGACTGTGAAGTAGATGGGGGGGGGGGTGATAGACTTGAAGCAAGACTAAGGATAATGTAAACTGAGTGAAAGCATGGGCATTCGATATACTCTATTGGAAGCCCATGGTGAAAGTCATAACCAGCCAAATCTATAGTTATAACATTATCTACATTAGAGATACATGCACAATAAATATCAATCATGCAATCATTAACCTAGGAACAGTAAGCAATGATTATTCTGTCCTAACATTCAACTCAACCATCTGTGGTTGCACCTCATTGATTTCTAACTGCCTCAATCCCATAGATCCTCTAACACTAATTCCAATTGGGTTTAGCATTCAGAAATATTAGATTCATAGGAAATATATGAGTTCGTTTATCAATACATGGTACAATTAGTAGCTGTAATATACCATTGTCGGTTTAAAGACCAGATGTTTTGTTTAACAATATAAAGTGCTATGGTCATTGACAGCTTTATATAGAAAAACATCTCATTTAACCAATTTGCTTTCTTCTTTACAAATTCCAACAAATGACACACGAGTTGAAAATTATTCAATGCCCGCCTCAGAATACAGGTAGGCTGCTGACACTACTAATTAAGAAAAGAACGAATGACTTTCACAAGTTAGTTCATAAAAAGTGGTATATTTATTAAATCATCATTATAAAAAATATTTTGTGACATGTAAAAGCATACTACATGGCCTAGTATGTTAGATATTCACACATGATAAATTTGAAGAGGAATCTGATTTTTTTCTACTTTAAATTCATAGGTTCCATAATTACTCAAATTCAGTTCATAGTAAACTGGCACCAAATCATGAATTCATTTAGCGGAACACTATTTCACATTTCATATGTTATACCTGTGGGAAAATTTATAATATACATTTAAAATATATAATATGCCCATCATAACCCAGATAAACCTAAATCACATGAGAACTAGTGATTTATCAAGTCCTAATTATTAATTATTTTAAGCTAATGAGCTAATGTAAGATCATAATTTATAAACATAAAGACAAATCATTGGTTTGGTGACTTTAAAAGGTAATCCATGGTTCAGACTCTACATGTATTTATCTCTGGTTCAGAGTGCCTTGTCTAATCTAGTTCAGGAATAGCAGAGTCTTTGCAACCCACAATGTTTGGTTCAGTGACTTAGAAGACAATCCATGGAATATGACTTCCAACAACTTTTACATAAACATGTTCTACCATTCACTATTACAAGAACATCAATTCATTGAACCATTACGTAGGATTCTAAAATTCTAAGCAGCCCCAGAGCACAAAACAGTCAAGAGACCATGGGGCAATATTAAATGTTTGATATTGCATGTTCTGATAACTATGGTATGGAGATGCAGTATCTCTCTTGACAGCCTTTGGGACTATTAGAACTCAACTTGAATTGCAAGCTACGAGACATAAATGAAATTGGATCCTATTAATATACCTGGTGTTGACAACCATAGAAATGTGTTGCAATGGTAGTCACGGTTAACAGACAATGAATGATTTGTTTATATCACTAAACTCCATATTCATAACACATTTATTTATAACAAGTTTTAATAATGTCAATTTGAAGAGCTAATTGAAGGGGAAACAAGGTCTACTACTAACGCTGAAATTGAACTGGGTTAATAAAGTGATTTCAATAGTGAAATCATACCGTGAAGATGCACACACTTTCCCGCTTTATTCCTCAATTCATATTAATGATGGGGAAGGTAATAAAACCAAGCCAGAAGGTATTCTAGTCAGTGAACCAAATCCAATTATTTGGAGAATAAACTGAAATTTCAGTAGTGGTTTATGCTCAGGCTCATTGAATCAACCAATGATCACTGACTAAGATTCAACATCTGATCATTTAAACTCATCATAAAATCTCTCTCTTGTCTTCTTCAATAAAAGTTAACCCAAAATGATACATTTAAGGACACTTGTTTGACATTGGAACCTACCTAGAATGAAGAATTTAGGTGAACATGTATGTAAAAAATGATTTTAATAAGTTTGTTAATCTTAATTAGGAATGAATATAAAACCCCTCCAATGAATTTTATATAATTGTTTTGATGCCCCTATGAAAATGCAAATATTGATTTATACCCTGAATGTATATACTGTATGTACTAATATATAAAATGAAAAAAGAGTGTTTTCCAGGGAAACTATAATAACTTTCACTCTTGGTATCCTAGAGCTGGGACATAAAAAGAAAAAAAAGTTTTTACTTTTACATTCGATTTCCCTTTCACTGGAATCCTGAACTTCCCCTGTGTTAAGCCAGGTGGAACCCGCATGCAGTTCTATCACTTTATTGAGAGCACATAAGTATAAACTGCATCACGGTTCTCAATTCATGGGAATCAAGGCGTCTATATAGTTTTTTTGCAATTACCCAAACTTATTGAATCGAGACAGTTAGTTGCTTAGGCTAAAAAGATGCTTTCAATAAATTCAGTCAGCTTTAGAAAACTGTAAACTGATTCAATTCATTTTACATCAAATACATTTTGGGTTGTACCTGAAATATTATAGCTGTCTGGCGTTCAATTTAAATTTACAAACTGAGTTCAACAAAGACCGTAATTAAATTTGTAATCTATAAGGAAAAAGTATTATAATATATTTCTGAATTTATTCTAAAATTCTAAATTCAAAAATTTTAATTAGTTTGTTAAACTAGCTCTACTTACCAGCATGACGGGGTTTCTTCAAATTTTCGGCATCCTCTGGGGTAAGAGAATTAAGGAGATCTTGCGTCATGGCCTGATTATCTAAAAAGGTAGGGTCCAGTCCTTTCAGCTTTGATCTGGACCTTGCATCATATGGAATCTCACTGTCAGAACTCTGATTACTTGAGGACCCCTTCGAGAGGTCCAAGACCTGTGGGGCCTCGCTCCCCTTCTTGGCAGTAGTATTAAGGTTCACAGGGGTCATAACTCCCGCTAGTCCCCCCTGATTGAGGAATGTATACTGGTAGGCTGCCTGCTGGAATGGCGCAGGGATTGACAAAATTGTCGGATTTGCTTGCTGTTGAAGCATTTGTATATGTGATGGACTTAAGGACTTAGATGTGATATTCGATGTCTTGCTTAAATCCATGCCACTATTGTTCTTGGTCAAGTTGATCACCTCCAATGAAGCCTCTGTCTTTATCTGAGTATCAGCCATCGCCACCGGAGCACATTAAGGTTTAGTGTCACAATGATGTGTCTAATGACAAATGTTGAGATGAGAGTTTGTCAAATGTTGCCTTCCTCCCCGGGCTATCATTTATCACTGTAGCGCGATATATATTGTTGCGGTGGACTCTCTGTCTGCGTCTATTGCTCACGTGTGCAGAGTGTTTCTAGTTGGATGGACTTCAGTCAACTGCAAATGGAACAGAAAGCCAGACATTAATAAACTGAGCGATTGTAATGAATTTGTAATTGCATGTACCCTCACTGATCTCTATTGACATTTATCCACCTTCTCTTTGAGTACTGGTTCTTATTAGATTTAAGTGTGGCAACTCCAGTGGGCCATGGGGCTGAGGCAGCTTGATAACATTAACCTTTCATAAGAGCCAGCATCATTAAGGCCTATGAGATAGGACCCAGGTGTGAAATGTTGAAGAAACAATGGTCTGATTAATTCAATTAAAGTCCCCGTGATCACAAAGCACATCTGCCTGTTCAGTGGACCGCCAACCATCCTACCATATCAATAGCATTGTTCAATCCTAAAAAAGCCATCTGGCCTCTGAAAGCAATGAACCAATTTTACACACACAATAAATGGCAGTGTTTAATTACATACTTCAATCAAATTAAAACTAAAAAATTCACTTTCTACCTGATGTTACGTCTGAATGCAAAAGAACTTGATAAGCCTCTTTATGCTATGATCTAAAACTCAAAAGGCGTATTCATTTCAAATCGTTCAATATATAATCATGCGTATACTGTAAAGTATTGGTAATTACAAATCTATTTAAACATGTGTATCTCTTGAAGTTCATGTATAGTTGAATCTACAAAGACAGTGATTCAGAAAATAACAACCGTAGAAATAAAACTGCATGACGCATTTACTAGTTTCAACAAAAATCGTGATGCCAACTAGCCACCTCTGATTACCAAAGTACTAGTCATCTTCATAATCAAAAATGCATACCAGACATTATGATATCATGATTTTGCGATTTAATAGAGAATATGACGTTATAGCAGACTGCACTAGGGTGTGACTGTATGTTACATAGGACTGACTCGCTAGGCCTAATAATTACATAAACTACATGTGCTGGTAATTATTACACAAATTAAATGACAGATGATACCTGCTTAGAGTCAATATGATATAATAATAATTCATTTCCCATTGTCTCTTATCTTATCTACATGCATGTACTAGAATGATAAAACATGTTATGAATATTAATTTTTCTAAAATTGATTACAATCATTGTAGTATGATTTAAATGATGAATAAAATTGATTTCAGAATGAATGATATAATTAGGTTAAATCACTCAGTTATGACTATGGGCAATTGCATTTTGATCTAGATCTTAATTACTTTCATAATTTAACAAAATTAACGTAAGTCAGACTTTTTGGATTTTGCTATCTAATGATGAAAATACAATCACATTGTAGAAGTTATGATGACTTTAAGCCCTATTCAACCATGAATTTTTAGAGAAAAAAATTAAAATCAAAATTGGCAAAAATTCTAATAATGGTAATGTTCAATAAGTTCATGGGAGACTGAGGAGGTTCATATGATAATGTTCTTCACGGGGCGCCACACCTCGCTGTCAAGGCTGAAGGGGTAAAAGTTGAATTACAAAGCAATTGGGTAGGATAATTCCAGACAAGGCATATCAATCTCGCTTCATGAATGAATCAATCTTGTTTTGTGTCGCAGTTTCACTTGAATGAAAACCAAGGTGTAATTCAACTTTATTTGAACCATGCCCAATAGAGGCGTAAGAGAACTGATCTCAGTGATTTCATTGAAAGTTTTATTAAACGTTAATCAGTGTTGACACTCCATCCATCTTCCTATTGAGAACTGTCTGCCATAGTTCCACTCCAGCGCTGCTAACATTAGGCCAAGAAAAAAACATTCTTGTTTCTGGTCACCAGGGTTTTGAATTTTTGATCACCCTGACCCAGACTTTTGGAAATGGGAATGGTATGTTTGTCTTTTTAAAACTTTCTAAAAAATTACAAAATAGCAATAACTGAATGCAAACTGTGAAAATATATTTTTGATTACTCCATCTGATAGGATGGGTCATTGGATGAATTGATCATTATTAGAGTCTTTGGTACATCATTTTGCTTTTATATACCTTTGAAAAAAGATTAACTATGCGTAAAGCATAATAAGGGATCAATCAGGTCAATTCTTTCACTTAAAATTTTTGCCGATGACCAAAAACAATATTTCTTTGCCTTGGCCTTATAATGTCGATGTGGTTATGCATTCACACAAAATAAAGCATTTTTTGAATAAATGAATGTATGAATCTGACTTCTATGGATAGAACAGTTACAACTTCACATTTGTGATTTTCAATCATATCTGAATTCGATGCCCAGATGGCTATGTCTGGGAGAGCAAGATACGCCAAAACAGAAAACTATAAAAACAACTAAATCTCCCAACGGAAACAAGATGTTGGGGTAGTAGCATCCTCCGATCACAGGGCTTCAAAATTTTAGTTCTTTCACAGTTAACTAAACACAACTAATTCAGTTTTAATGTCAATGCCCAAAGACCAAATTGGCCTCTCCATTGTTACAAATAGGCTATAAATGACAAAGAGCAATATGATATTTTAGGCTATTTCCCGTGTGTAAAAACAGTGTGATTATGCTTTAAATCGAACTATTTCTTATGTAAACTATTTCTTTTTAATTTTCTGAGGTTTCTACATAATTCAAAAATATAGCAATAGATGTTTTACCTTTTTTCTTGTATATTTAAATTTAATTTCTTTACTGAAACGTGACAACAATACTATTTCACCCACTGGTTGTCATTAGAAGGTCATTGAGATAGATTATGAGATGCCAGAATAAAACGATCAATGTGATTTATGAACCACCCGTCAACTTCTTGCATTTTGTCAAGAAATCAGATTTCATACCCCTATTATCCTTTTGCTCAATAAATTGCAACATAATATTTCATTAAGCTTCACATGCTCTCATTCTAAACTAAAAATATATATCCCACCTTATCCCTAAACATAATGTATTTATTAGCATGTTTTAAGAGTAGTTAGGTGTTTGTTTTATTGGAAATTAATTTTCTCCTGATCCATATATCTGAATGATATAGAGAATACTTACACAATGTCCTGTAAAAGCTAAACTGGAGTTCTAGTCACAAATTCCATCATATCATTCTAACCAAACCATGAAATACTGATATTTCAAAAAGTACTCTGCCTCAGTGATTTGCTTTGGTAAAGAATAGCCATAAAAGTCAAGATCCTTTCTAGTGCATTTTCCAATTCCAAGTAAAAGAGCAAGAGGTAATGCTAATGCAGTGAAATTAATAAACTACTCAATTTTTATGTGTGTTGGTACAGATAAATGAAACCATAAACAGACATAAATACAAACAAGCAAAAGGTGTAACTGTACATGTATTTCACATTTTGGTTTCTGAAACACTTCTGTTTTGATTAATTAACAATGAATTGGATTAAGTTGCAAAAACATTATTTTGGCTTAAAATTAGTTAAATGCTTCGAATTATTGAAATTTTTAATCAAACAAATATGACTATTTACATCATTCCTAAAGCAATGCAAAAAATTCGTCAATAAAAGTTTATAGCACATTTTAAGTGTGAAAATAACAACAATACTAATTACAAGATGTACGATACCAGTGCATGCAACATACACTATCTATAATGGCAAAACTTTGAAACAATTTATCAAAATCATTTACCGTGGCTACAGGCTTTTTAGCTAGATCATTTCGCACTAGGCAAAGATTTTATGAGTTTTCCAAGCGCTTAAAATGCACGCTAGAATCATCAATCAATTAATCAACCAACTGAGCCTGAGGCCCGCTGGCAGCCATTGCCATGTAATAACATTGTTCACGTCAATCTGACCAGAACTATTTTAAGAGAATATTATCTTTAATTTGTTGTAACAATTTATTCAAAAGAACTATTCAATATTAAATAAATATTTCTATACTTACATTCACCTGAAAAACCAAATCCAAACTGAATGAAAGATGCATTGAAAAGTTACTTATTTATACCAACCAAAGGGAAGTGCTAATCAGTAATTATCGGTGTGGAACTTCTATAACCCCCACTTTAACCCCCTAGAGCGGTCACTGAACCATATTCAAAACAATATAATAATGAGACAATAACCAAAAATGTACCTGATTAATAAGAATGTAAAGCAAACAATTCTATTAAACGCTATTATCACTTATCAATAGCAGGATGAAGCAAACTGCAGTAAGACATTAGACTCATCCAAAATGGGAGACAAATTCCTACGATACCTATAAACTGTGGCAACACCTAAAACAACTAGAATCTTAATACCAAATATATTTCATCCTTGGTCCAAAGGTATTTCACTTCTTTCCATGCCCTGAATTGAGTAATAAATGAAATCCTTTGAATGAAGGATGAAATATTTTTCCAAATTAAGTTTCTTAAATAAATTTTGAAAAATGACTTAAATGGCATATGTCAATTCTTCTTTCTTCTCTGTTTCTGCAGAGAGTGGTTGGAATTTTATTATCCCACAGAATTGTAGAATTCACATGTTTCTTGAATTAACAAAAAGTATATGAATAATGGTGATTTTCAAATTTAAATGCTTACAGTTTTATTCTGGAACAATTTCACCCAAAACGGATTTCTATTTCTCCATTGTTTTCTTATCTACATGGCAGCATGTCACATGGAGGATAATCACAAAATTTTCATAAAAAAATTATATTTTCATTTTTTATCAAGAAATCCTACAAAATTATCTCTATTTTCAAAAAACAACATTTTAAATTGCAGGAAACCTAGAGGATTGTTTTTTACTCTTATAATGGTAAATATGAGGGGGAGATTTGTTTACAATAGTTCCATAATACATTTAAATGAAGTTGTTTTCAGTCTTGAATTTATTAGATTCATCACCAATTTTCAAAATGATGCAAACTTGGAACAACAGTTCCCCCAGATCCAAATTCATCACCATCTTTAGCTTTCTTAAAAGAATAAATTAAAAAGCATAATGGTTTCCAGGAACAGTTTCATTTGCTCCAACCTTGTTTATTCATTGTATGCTGCTTGCATGCATCTATGAAATAAACCTATTCATTAAATTAGTTTCCAAGTTGAACATTTTTGCCAATAAAATTCTACATTATAGGAAAGAATTTTGTCAGCCATTTGTGATGAGAGTAACTACAGGTTTATTCTACTGTTGTACAGAAATCCAACCCTCCGTGGAGTAGACACTAAAATGTGTTAATTACCTCACTGCATTTTGCAATATTGCATTCTATGCGGAAGTACATATGTGAAAAACATCAGCAAACTTGTAAAGCCATTGAACTGGAGCACTAACCAATCGTGTGACAGGACCCAAAGGCACAAACCAATCTTGTCTTGTCTGGCTATGATGCTTTGATATGACGAGCAATGACAAAGGGTAACATTTGACAATTCCTATGATTCATCAGATGAAACAATAAGTTTACATTATTATGTTAATCCAAATAATATTTAGTGATCCAGATGATTGTTGATGATCCCTCATGATCAATGTCGATCAAGATGATTATCACTAATCCAGATGATTGTTGATAATCCAATTCATCAATGTTGACCCAAATGATTATTACTGATCCAGATAATTGTTGATGATCCCTATGATCCCAGGATTTGTGATTTAGAATTGCATGCTAGGATAAGCAGGGCTTGTTTGACTGCCTTTAATTCGGTCAATGATTGAACAAAAGTTATCTTCCACTAAAATTGGCATAAACTATGAAGGCAACAGAGTCTTGCATTCTATTATTTACCACTAACGCTATATATGGACATATATAAATATTTAGAAATAGACTTGTGACTACTTGTAAAGTAAGGTGACAATGTGAGGTGCAAAGATGTTGTTTGGAGCTTCACAAGGGCTTTATGCAAGACTAGAGGCAACATAACCAAAATTAAAAACCTGTAAAGATATTTCAAGAATAATTTTTGCTGAGTTTTATATCTGATCATGTTCCCACTTGCTGACATCGTATAGATATAATATAACAAAATTGTATTTATTTTCTTTAACCTTTAGCAGACCACCGGCGACCGCGTCCGCCCATTCAAAATTACCGCCAGAATCCACCGGCTGATCCGGACGACACAAATCTAACTTTTGAAAACTTTACTTTTTCCCGCCGTTCTTATGATCCAATTAGATTGCCCGATTTATTCAGTCCTTAGTAGGTGACTTCCTGTTGACCTAGAAATGGCGATGTTTCGAAAAATATTTCTCAATTCAACAATTTAAACAGTGTTTAAGTCGTTTTTAGTGAACAAATCGTACAAAATGACGGCCAAATACGATCACAACGAAAATGTGGAGGAAATGGATTGCGATTTCGAGCTCTTTAGGCTCTTGGAAGCCGATAATGGTCATCGAAAATAGAAACTAGAATATTTTCTGAACTGAAAAGAAGAACATTCGATCGCTGCAAATTCAGTTTTGGATTCTGACCAGACGTTGAATCTCCCGAGGGGCGAAACGGCGGATGTACGAAAAAAATCATGAGAACATTTTTCTCATGAGCCACGCTAGTGTATCTTCCCTTTGTGAAAATTTTATCCAGATTCATTCAGTAGTTATTGAGATATTAATTATTTAGTCCAGGCATATCATTTTTGAAAAATAAGTCAGATGCGTGGGATATATTTGCTGAAATAAGTCAGAGTGCAGAAGGTTAAAAGACTGATATGGATCAAGAACCAGAACTATAAAAATGTGATAATTATTATGTTGTTCATCTTATGGGTAATGAATGCATTCTGTTTGTAAAACCTGAAAACAAAGCAATTAACAACAAGGAACAAAACTCCCCCAAGAAGCCACCCAAAAGTGAGTGAACTCGTTAGATGTTACATGTACGTATATGAATCTTAGAAAATATTTTGAAGAAATGAGATTAGCATCAGAATGTCATAAAAACTGATTCTTAAATTGATTTAAATAAATGATGGGGTATCATTAGAGTTAACTCTGGAAAAGTCTGAATCATATTACCCAAACTTCTAGCCTAAGGTGTTTCAGATATAACACTTTGTACAATCATCATAATCATCTCAAGGTATTTTAGATATATACTACGTACAATCATCATCCAATCATTTCAAGGTGTTTTAGATATTTCACATGGTACAATCATCATACAATCATTTCAAGGTAGTTTAGATATTTCATTAGGTACAACCATAATACAATAATCTCAAGGTATTTTAGATATTTCACGAGGTACAACCATAATACAATCATTTCAAGGTATTTTAGATATTTTACTAGGTACAATCATCATCCAATCATTTCAAGGTATTTTAGATATTTCATTTGGAACAATCATCATACAATCATTTTTAGGTATTTTAGATATTTAACTAGGTACAATCATCATCCAATCATTTCAAGGTATTTTAGATACTTCACTTGGTACAATCATCATTTCAAGGTATTTTAGATATTTCATTTAGAACAATCATCATCCAATTATTTCAAGGCATTTTAGATATTTCACTAGGTACAATCATCATCCAATCATTTCAAGGTATATTAGATATTTCACTTGGTACAATCATCATTCAATCATTTCAAGGTATTTTAGATATTTCATTTGGTACAATCACCATACAATCATTTCAAGGTATTTTAGATATTTCACTAGGTACAACCATCATACAATCATTTCAAGGTATTTTAGATATTTTATTTGGAACAATCATCATACAATCATTTCAAGGTATTTTAGATATTTCATTTGGTACAGTCATCAGATGATCATCTCAAGGTATTTTAGATATTTCCTTTGGTACATTCATCATACAATCATTTCAAGTATTTCAGATATTTCACTTGGTACAATCATCATACAATCATTTCAATGTATTTTACATATTTCCCTTGGTACAACCATCCTACAATCTCTGTATACAATTTCCGTATCTGCTGGACCTCCATGCAAGATGGCTGGCCAATAGCCCTTAGCATATGTGTTATTCCCTTACCCTGAAATTCCATCAGCTAGCCCTGACACTGCCCTCTGATTACCACAAATACTCTTATAATTCTATGTTGATGAGATCTTAATGACCACAAAAGGATATCTAATATTTTTTATGAGAGTTTCATCATGTGAAATGAAACATAAAGACAAAAATGTAGTCTTGTGAATTTCTGATTTTATATTATGATCATATAACAAAAACAAATAAATAAATATTAATTATAACAAAACTTACATTTACAAGTCTTTTCGTAGTAAACATCAACTGTTTTATCTTTCTTTTCTTTCCAAAGTTTCACATTTCATTTAGATTCTCTTCTTTCTTTTCTAGTTGTGACCTGAAAACAAAAACAAAACCAAATGTCTCAAAATTTCTAAACTAAAAATGCATGTTTACAAATCTCAATGAAATTATGAACTTCTTGATTTCATACCCAATTTATACAAATGTTCACCTGAATATTCGACTATCTTATTCCTGTCTGGAGAGACTGTCCCGTTAAATCCCACACATTAAGTTTTGTTCAATGTACATACACCAGCTGAATGGCATACAATATGAAAGAAGCCATGCATGCCCTGGTGAAATACAAACACTTTTATTTGCCAAACTATTTAGAATCTTATCAGGTTTTTGGGACTTTAGAATCATTCAAACTGCACCAATATTAAACAAATAACACGACTACAAATATCACCAACCGAACTATGTCGATAATGCTTTATCATGCCTAATAAAAACTAACTCAACTCAATTACCTTGTTTTCGGTATTTTTTATCTGCGGTTATATTTTGATGTTTAATTACGGTATCTGATGTGGAATTACAAATGGGGTGGTATATCACAATAGATATCTTCCCTTTAACCGAGCTGATAAAAAATTCATGAAGCATCATTAGTAGTTTCACATGAGTGGAGACATCGGTCCATTACTCCATACAAATTGCTAGGAAGTTTGAAACTGATAATTCATGACTCATCCCCATTGCTTCTTTGTTCTCAATCCCGTATTTCACGCAACATGGAATTTACTTTATATCACCATACATCACTGCATTAGACCAATTTATACATTTACGATCTCCTTAGAGGAGTCAACTCAAAAACCTTATAGTTCATCTCAGGTGTAAATATGTTATACCTAGGTTTTACATTGAATGCAGTCCAGTGAATAGTCTCACGATATAGTTGATTAATGAATTAGTATGAATTGTCTCATAAAAAGGTGTTAAATTGGTCACCTCACTTTGAGGAACTTCTTGGGGCTGTGAACTAAATTAACTGTGGGCTGTATAGATATATACTTATTATGTATCTTTGTACTCCTCATTAATTACTGAATATGTAAAAAATATATTATTGATATAAATATTGACAAAAATTATCGTTTTGGCATTTATATGACATTGTGCAATATAGGGGATTATCATATGAATATATTCTCTATGATATCAAACATTAACTGAAAAATCTTACCTATGTAAGATAGTTCCTATAAAAGTGTAAAGACACACTCTGTCCAGGATCAGGTAAAACTTCTTTTGTATGTCTTTTGTCTGATGGTTTGATGTTTGTCTCGCATTGTTCAACCCTTATAAAGTTTAAACCAACCCTGCATTTCCAATAACTCATGTGAAAACAGATGAATCACTAATAAGTAAACATCCAGCCGATAAAAGTCTAACTAAAAATTAAAAATTAACTTTGTGTTGGTGTCAGTATAGACAGACATGTAGCTGGCGTTGAGTCTCTCAATTATTGCTTGGAGCTATGGTAGTAAATGTTACAGTCAGATGGGCACATATACATACTGCATTAGTTACAGTAGCCTAAAACAATATAACAATCATTTATGGCTTCTAATTAAATTAATATGAGTTCCATGCATGCTTTATTTGATCTCTTCATATGTTAAAGGCACATTGTCAATTTACATTAAGTGTTTGGAGAAAACGTCACTTGTACTCCTTGCACAATGATGACTCAATATTAATTTTGTAAATCAATTCAAAAATGAAACCATTGAAAATGAAACCATCAAAATATATATTCAGTGGTTTCATAAGCAAGAGGCTGTATTCACCAAAATGGATATCATTTTGAAAATTTGGGAATTATATGGTAATTATGGTTTTTGACTAAAAGTCCATATCAATTTCTTACTTTTTATATGAAGCAATCACACATCATTATTTCATAGTAAATGCCTTTAATTTAATCAGCCTTGTAAAATATAGCCTCAAACCTAATAAAAAATATAATATTCATTATCAAATATTTCACACGAGGATTGATTCGTGATTTCTACCTGTTCCTGATATCTAGCTAACAATCAGCATTCACCGCTGCTGACAGATATGAATATTTAATTAAAAATACTTTATCATTAAAACCCCTGTTCTCATATTAAAAATAATAACTGATAATGAAAATCTTTTAATACGAGACAGCATTGAACCACATCTGTCATGCAACAATTCAGACTGTCGTCATACAATATTCACCAAATAACACTGTGCCGATGACTTTTATTCACTATTCCATATGCGATATAGTTTGAAAAATCGCCAATTAAATCACGTCTAAATTGCCTACTGAAGAGTGGCGATGCATTCCATAGACAATAGCAGACACATTATTTCTCAATGATATCTCAATAAGTGTTCCGCGCGGCTAGTATGACTGATGGTTTTTATGACGTAAAGCTGAGGGAGATCTGGCTGATGTATATAGCCTCTTATAAGGAGTTCAACCATGCATATCTCTACAGAGTTAACTAATATAACACTACCCTTGTCAGATGTTGAACATTAATTTTGCATTCTTTGCCAGTTGGCCAGTCACATTTGCAGTCAATGAGTTATTTGTCAATCTAACCAACATTACCTTCTTTGGATATATATGCTCCAATTGATGAGATATAATTCCCAAACTTTTTTTATTTTACTCTTTACTTTAATTTCTAATTTCTTAATAAACTGCGAAAATGTAAAAATCTCAATTTGTAAAATGGAACAAAAACCAATTTCTACTATAAACTGCTAAATGTGTCATAGAAAGTTAAACAATCAAAAACAGAGTAAACAGCTTAATGTATTATAGAACGACTATATTGATCTCTTCTAGCACTATAATACACTTCATTGGATTCACATCATTGGACCCGCAACTAACAATAGAGCTTATGGAGAAATAGCAAATGTTCCCAACCATGGTTAAATGGACAATAATGAATATTGATCAATCAATCGAGAGACTTATCCATGTTACCTTGCCATATTATAATAGATTTGGCCCAGAACATGGATTTTTTCAATAAACCCATAGGATTAACATGCATGATATTTATTAAGAATTCCCTAGGAAGCTGTACATAAATGTATATAATGAGAGGAGCTTTATTTCTCTATAGACCAAGCGGAAAGGTTTTTGCGGACTAAATTCCATCAGAAAAAGTCTTGTTTCAAGTCTCTGTCTATTTCCAAAATTATTTTTCTTTGTTAGAGAGAGAATGGAGTGTTGAGGTGGCAATATGTAGGCCTAACATTAAAAACATAAAAATATATAATTCAATTTTCAATGATAAAATATATTTGCCTGATAGTGATCTAAAAAGGGACAAGATAAATATTTCCAGATTGTCTCAAGACAATTAAATTTTATTTTAGATTGACCCTCTCCATCTCCCAATATTTTTTTTGAGCAAGAGACTGAGGTAAGGCAACATGGGACAGGACACTGGTTACATTTAAGAAAATCAAAATAAACTCTGAATAATGAATGAATAATAGGACATATAAATAGACATAAAATTGGTTCTAATTCAAGGTTGAGTTGACATTACACTAAATATATGAAACTAACCTAAGAATTTGAGATATTTTTATTCTATTTTATATCTCCTTCTTATTGAATGTTTAGTTATGGTTCAATTCATAATTTAACATGAGAGGAAATGCTTATTAGTGCAATATACTAGAAAGAGAAATGTATTTCTTAGTAATGACATTTAATATGTAGCATATACATGTAATAAAATCCTCAGGAAAAATTGTCTAATCCATTCTCTTAATCTTTAAAATAAGCTTAAACCATTTAAATTCATAAAAAAGTTATTTTGGATTGCTACCACCCCCACCCCATTTACGTAATCAGTAATTCTTGAGACTAGACCAAGACTTGAGCATGTCAAATAGACTAGACTAATTTGCAATGCCATATTCTCCCTAACTAATACCATTACTCCACATTCTATCAATTCTCTATTCACCAGTCTACAAGACAAGAGGACTTGTAAACAAACAGCCGCAAGGCTCACTTAACTAAACTTTCAATTAGTATTCTATTAAAGCCTTGTTAGTTATCATACCATAGTGATTTAGCCATGCTGTCAGCATCAACAGGTTATTGCCCATTGTAGCCGGATTTCCAAAGCAAAATACTCGAATCCTTGAGATCTGGATTCATTTCCTAAATTCCTAACACAATTTTATAACAGACAGCACATAGGATAACAGAGTGACATAACATACAAGAAGAGACAATAACATATTGCATTACAGTATAATGAGAAGAGTCTCAGAATAATACCCTTGTGAATAAAGTCTCCGTTTCCATTTTCTGGATTTTTATAACTTTCCCAGAAAAGTTTGAAAACTTCATGAAGAGTCCTAAAACCTTATGTCACACTTTACACAAAAAAGTCACCATCCTTAACATGTTTATTCACTGACACAACTCAAAATATTTTGAGAAATTGAATTTGACTGAATTGTGCTCCTACCTTGTAAATAGCTGTGGCGTGATGACGTGACTATCTTGGTGATAATAATGTACTTCAAAATGGAGTTTAAGTCACACTGAATGACTTGATATATTGCGGTTCAAATGTCCTTTGTCTTTATGAGCTTATCATACAGCATGTCCTGTTAGACGGTTACTATAGCCTCCTTTACATTGAGTCGCATTGATGCCTCTATAGCGCCCTGCCTAGTGAACTAAACCTAACCTTAACATGTAAACTGATAAGGGGTGCTCTACACACTTCACTAGACTTGCCAAGTCAATAAAGAACCCAGTTTAGCTGTCCAAATATGTAAATAACAAGTCTCGATGTGTTTCACATTTTTCAAGTCAATTCACGGTATGTGAGCAGCTGGTCCCCCAACATTGGGTGAAAGTCTAGAATAAACTGTGGAATAATATGTTCCAGTCTGTTCCTTTCTGCTAGACTTGGCAAACATCTAGGGTTTCCTAAAGCGCTTCAGTTAACTTCAGCTTGGAGTTAATCCAGTCTACACGCTAGGCTTCACACCAACAGGATTATTTTACAAAGGGTCCACAGGAAACAGAATGAAAATTAATGCCATGCTAGTAAATTAGACTCTCCTGCACTGCTTGGCTGGTAATTAAAATCTACAGTCCACTGGAGTTAGGAAACACTAATTAAAACCATAGAAAATCAACAGTGCAAGGAGGGCTGTGTAGTTATTTGACAATGTATGGATTTATTTATTTAATAAGTGTAAGCTTGTTGTCCCGTTATTTTAACAAGAGGGTGTTCTACACCATGCAGAGTCAATATTCCACTAAGCTTAATTCAGTGAATATCCTTTATCCACTTTCTTCTATACAAACCAGACATTTAATTTTAAGTATGGTTGCAGATGAATACCCAACATTGAACTCAGCCTAGTATCACAATCTGGTATTATCACAGAACTTTCAAATGCATTGAATTGTAAAAATTCACGAGCCTTGAAAGCCTAAAGATACATAACAACCATCAAAACATTGACTTTTTATACATTAGCGTTTCATTAAGAGAAGCACTGGTGCTTAAACACTTTTAAGCTGTCGTTATGTGATTAAAGGTACGCTGTAAAAATAGAAGAATTATTTGGCAGAAAATAGGGTCCTTCAATAAATTAGGTTATAAGATCATTATTCACTGTCTGATTTCTGGCCAACTTTCATTTCAGTGTAACAATTTTTCTACTTTCTCTGTTCTATTGTACTGTTATTGTATTTCTCTGTTCTATTGTACATGTCTCTGTTATCACTTGGATGTAGCTAATTACCATGACACATGCTACATAATTGAGATAACTTTGATGAGACATAGTTTTTACATGATTCGAAATGTTTTCAGTAAATGGCTCCATTCATTAGCTTGTGGTGAAATTAATTAAATGCAATGTCGAACAACTTTACCACTTTCGGATTCTCAGAAACAGAATTCAACGAAAAACTTTACTTTCGAAATAGCCTCGACTTCTTTTTGCTGTGCTTGAATGTAAAGTTTCAATGAAAAATAAATCAATGGACTTTATTTTCCAAAAAAACACGTAAATAACGTAAAATAAACGTAATGTAATACCAGACCATGATATGCAATAACACTGTTAAAACTCCTTCACTAATAATATGTTTTTATTAATAAGCACATGTGTGGTGTGTCATTTAAGGAATGCATTACTGGTATACTAGCTTTGGTTGCTATCATGAAACATGATGTCTTGCTAATATAGAAAAATGTGGTCATGCATAAAAAGCACAGCATCATTGTTTCTTAGAAATGCATAACCACTGAAACATACTTGCAGCTAGTACTCCCGCTCCTTAGTAGATAGTATAAATTGACTTTTTAGAGGAATTCTAGTTACAGTTCTCCTATATTTGACCAAAAGTTACTCTAGGCCAGTTTAAAGTGCCGTAATCAAACTATTAAAAAGTATAAAAAAGTTACAATTTTGAAATAATGTTGGATGAAATGCCTAAAATAAAATTTACAATGAGAGTAACTGAAACTGAAATTCTCCTTTCTCAATAATTGAGGAGAGGGTACGACTTTAAAATGGTACATAAAATGGAATTATAAGAGTTATGAATTGCTGAGTACTTAGAATGCTACAATTATAAGTTGACATTTTCCGTGGTATGCTCAGTGAATTCAATGAAATATGGCTAGATAAATATAGGCACATTATATATTGTACTTTGCCCCAGTATCAATAAGTCGCTGCTAATGGCAAATAGAATATTTGAGTAAAACAAAGACTGGAATTAACGAGCTTTGAATCATCATTACGGAATGCATCAAGCATAAAAAGCAATCATACTTAGCTGTGACACACTAGTTCTATTACAGATCATATTCTTACAGTGCATTTCTGATAGATATAAAATATCATCGTTCTAGAAGACAAACAAGGCATTAACATGACAAAATGTCACCACCTTGTTGCTCACAATACTGTAAGTTCAATCTTAAGTCAGATTTGAATTTCTGAGAACTTGTTGATGATTTTGAAAACAAAAATTGGTCAATTTGAAACAAGTTGAAAAAAGATCTTTTTTGACCGTGAGAAGGTCATTGAAGGTGAAATCTCAAATCTTAAGTCAGATTTGAACTTCAGAAAACAATTGTAGATGATTTTGAAAAAATTGGTCTATTTGTAGCAAGTTGAGAAAGACCTTTTTGACCTTGATAAGGTCAAATATTTTTTGATCTTTGGTACATTATATTTGTGATGTTTTCCATGGAACAAAAACATCAAATGAATGGTTTCTGCAAGAGGAAATACTGTTGAATGCAATCAAGCAAGACTGAGTCACACATCCTGTGTGGAAGTAGGGTTATATTTCTCTAATCATCAACCTTTACCCTGTTAAATTAATATTAGTTGTTTCATAATTGGATTTCTTTGTGGGTTCTGTTAACTATTACAACAGTTAAACGTGTATCATAAATACATGTCAACATGCAGACGGTTCTTTGTCTGGTAGTTTAAAGTAGTTTGCAATGCAAGGTTGCACAGAGGCACATAGTCCAAGGTAGCTTGATTCTCATGCCACACCTGAGAATTAAAATGAAACTCAGTATTAAAAATATAAAGATGTATTATAACTACTACATTTAACAAGTGATGTGTTATAATCAACTGCATAACTTTTCCTAAATATAACGTGACAGTATGATATGTAACTTACACAATCAATGCAATAGACTTGGACGCAAACCTTCTTTCTGAATACAGTATAATATCCAAGCTTGAAAAAATTCCTCAACTGACATGCAGTAATACAAGTTCCAACTGAAAATATTACTCACATAATTCTGAGAGAAATTTTAATTCAGTATCTTCATGAACAATGTTTTCCAAACTTCGATAATCACAAAAAATAAAGTTTACTATCTATTCAAAATCTAATTAAAACATTTGATAATGTAAGAGAATAAAATTAAGAATTAAAATATTTTAGGGTTATTAGGTTCATAAAATTGTTTTCGATTTTTGAACAATATAATTATCAATTTTATGGTGTTAATTGGTATCTCTTACAAAGGTTTGTTTTTTCAGACATTGTTTTTATTTATTCAATTTTCAAAGTCATTTACCTTCAGGGGCAAAACAACAACTCCACAGAGTACTAAAGTCCAACAACAAAACATGTATGATTCTCCAGGACACAAATAAAAAGGATTATCATTTACAATTAAGTATATTTGATCTGTATATAATAATGGAGCTTATTTCAGGAGATTTCAAAAATTGACAAACTGCATTTTTCTAACCATATTAGTGGTTTGGCAAGAATATGTTCCACCGTTATTTTGTTTGCGCCGTGGGTGGTGATCAGGCAATTAGCTAAAAACATGCTTGCTACTGAACACGCATTGTGCATATAGGATCGTATGCCCGGATCGTATGTCATTGAGAAGGATATACATTTGCAGTATTGTAAACATTTCATCTACTTTTGCCAGATTACAAAATTGGATAGATCATTTATTTACTATAAATAATTTTTGGAAGGATATATTCCCAGGAATTTATTAGTTTATTATAAAAGCCCCCCCCCCCCCCTTGGATGGGCCCAGAAAAAAAATGGGCCCAATTCTCTGACCAGAAATTTGCCCCCCCCCTTGTTGGTACCCAGATCCACCCCTGAAATGTATATCTACGTATTTCACCCTTGGTATACGCAGCTAACGAAAATTGACCGGTACGGGTCAAAAGCTGGACCGGTACGGGTTAACGGTTTTATTTGAATTTAAAACAGCCATAACTTGCTCAATATTGACTTCCTCGTGTCTAATTTGAAATATATGATGCCTCCCTATGCTTTTAAGTACCCCAATTTTTTACAGATTTTTAAACGGACCAAAACTCTCTAAATGCGCATTTATGCTCTTTCCTCTCGAGAACGACTGTCTCATTTTCACGATAACTTTTATTTAGTACTTCTAACATATAAGATCTATTTTTCCCTATCAAGGTATGATGTAAATGACATGCTATTTACATCTTGTGAGTTTCAATGACGCGCGTTTGATTTTATAAAAAATGCCAAACTTTGTGACAAAGAATTTCATCCTGCTTGCAGCGAGAAGACGGACCAGTTCAGGGCAATCTGCTTGCAGCGAGAAAACGGACCGGTTCATTTACATCATACCTTGATGGGGAAAAATAGATCTTATATGTTAGAAGTACTAAATAAAAGTTATCGTGAAAATGAGACAGTCGTTCTCGAGAGAAAAGAGCATAAATGCGTATTTAGAGAGTTTTGGTCCGTTTAAAAATCTGTAAAAAATTGGGGTACTTAAAAGCATTGAGAGGCATCATATATTTCAAAAAATTAGACACGAGGAAGTCAATATTGAGCAAGATATGGCTATTTTAAATTCAAATAAAACCGTTAACCCGTACTGGTCCAGCTTTTGACCCGTACCGGTCAATTTTCGTTAGCTGCGTATACCAAGGGTGTATTTACTCAGTTAAAGCTCAGTCAGTTTTTAAGACTCAAGAACCGTTGCTTTGGTTGATCGGTAACCATATAACGATAATGATATGACACCAAGCCAAGGGGTTGGAGTGACATGTTTGTTGCCCTATAAACTGATAAACACTTGGTGTAAACTGAAGCATGTCAATTATGAGTACAAAGATTTATATATTGATTATCTAGCCATGCATCCTGCTGAAGGAACAAGTACTGTCCAAAGTCCATTGATTGTATACATGACATGGCACATTGCTGGGAACATAAGGACATTCTTGAGTGACCTCACATATATAAAATCAAACAAAACTCAAATTAGACTCTCTATTTTATTTTCCTTTATGAATTTCTATTTGAGTGGTTTAGGGGGTGCTTATAAGAGACAGTGTCAACACCATGAAACCATATCACCTGTGAAATATTTAAGTATGAGAACAAATAAAGCTTATCATTATTAATTGGCTTTTGCTATAAACTTTTGTTTTCAAATGAACAGGAAGACTGATGATATCAAAGTCTAACATTAAGCTGCATAACCATCCATATAATTTTAATAAAATAAAAATTTCAAAAAATGATTTCTGATTTTACGAGGTTTTTTTTAAAACATTGAAGCAATCAGTTAATTCAATGTTGGTTTGCCATTGGCACTTTATCAACACCACTATCAATTCGAAAAGAATTATTAGTCACTCCTCAATTTTGATAATTCTCTTTGTCACAACCTGTAACTTTGATATTTGATCAGATGAATGTCCAATAGACTAGATGCAAGTAGAAATAACATTGATTTACACTGGCGGATCTGGGGGGGGGCTGCCCCCCCTTGGGTTGGCCAAGAAAAAATTGGGCCTAGTAAAGCCTTATTTTATAATTTCAGGCCAAATTTTGAAGAATATGTGAACCCACTTTTCGGTTTGACGGGCCCAAAATTTTTTCTCTGACCTGAAATTTGCCCCCCCCCCCTTGTTGGTTCCCAGATCCGCCCCTGATTTATGTCATTCATCATTCAAAATTTAGTCAAAGTGATAGTTTGAAATCTACATCTAAAAAAGTGATTTACATTATTACTTATCAACTTCAGAAAATTTAATTTTTTTTTGAAAATGTCAGACTACTGGGTAGAGTAGATTCCCTATAGACCCCATGTTATAAGATCACAAAAAGTGAAATATTTTTCCTTGTGTTGGACCATGGGCTTTCAATTAGAAAAGCCCTAGTTGAAAGCCCATGGTTGGACAGATAATATTTTCATTAATTTGATAATATGTATGATATATAATTGTATAGTATGTATGGTATTTGAGTATAGAAAATTGGTGAAGAACATTAAAACATAAACCCCTAAATATTCAACAGATTGAGTGCCCCCCCCCCCTTGAGTAACAAGAAACACCCTCAAAACACTGATATGTATGTATATGTATATATATGTATAGATATGTATTTAAAAATGATTTTGGTAAAGAATTGTACTTGAAACTAGATAATAAAAAGTATAGATTGGCTACAAGTAGATTTAGAATGAGTTCTCATCAGTTAGCAATTGAGACTGGAAGACATACAAAGCCAAAACCAAAACCTTTAGAGGACAGAGTATGTAATATTTGTAAAGATGTAGAGGATGAATGTCATTTCTTTTTAGCTTGTACAAAAAATGATGAGAATAGGCAAATATTATTTACAAAAGCCCGTGAAATTTTACCTAACTTGGATTTACAAAGTGAAAATTTATTTGTCAATCTTATTTCTAGTAAAAATGTAACCTTGCAAAGACATATTGGCAAATTCATTTACCATTCATTTAAGAATTTAACATGGTCATAATGCATTGTGTGTGCACCATACTATTATTGTTACCTTATATATTTTTTGTATTTTTAGTTTAGTTGGTGTTTTGTAGTTTAGATATGTAGTCTACCATAGTTCTGACTAATGTAATCATGTTATGATACTATATGTCAATAAAAGTTATATATATATATCACTGCAAGAATGACTGTGATAATGGGGGGATGGGGAAGTAAATTACTAAATCAGTCAGAAAACAATAACTGTTCTTCATTAACATATTGGTAAGTAGAAATGCTACACTTACTGAATACAATGGAACAAAAGAATGTTCACATTTATTCAACAGCATGCGAGTAAAGTCAACTGATATCAGGCATCATTATGGCGTGACTGTTCTAGCAGCTTGGGTTACAGTTCACTGTGAATGTTGATGCAGAATTAAACTGACTGTTTACACTGCAGATAATTCACATTCGCACTCATATTTTCTCACATTAGAGGAACCAAGAGTTTATTTATACAGCACTATGTGGATGTGTACAAGTTGTATCACATGATTTGATAGATTCATGCATATTATTTTTATTCAATAAATGAGAATAAATTGAGTTACAATGTATGTTTGTTTTTTGGACCTCCATATGTACTCTGTGTTTATCTATAGTGTAAGTCTTGGTTGATGGCCATTATTTATACTGATCAAAATTGACAAATGTTTTCAATATTTTTTTTATTTGTTACAGATATCAAACACAATCACCTAAAGCTGGACACCAACTGCCAAACACTGTTCACAATGTTAAAAACCCTAAAATTAAAGAGTCAAGGAGTCACAGTGTCGCAATGAAAATTCATATGTTATCCCATAGTTGAGGTCAAATCTGTACAGGATACCATGTAGATATGTTTATGATATTTTCATTAATTTGCAAATGCATGGAAAAAAGCAATATCTGTAGAATAGAATTCCACAGCATATCACATTTTCATGGATTTGAAAACTCCTGCCAAAGTGACGTGTATTGTTACTTGATGACGTCACATGATGAATTAATGAATGAATATTGTTTTGAAATGTTTGGTTAGCTTTATAAGTGAACTATGGGATAAATAGAACATCCTATGCATTTTCGTGATATCATTTTATTCTACTCATATCAATACATGTATCTGCACTCATTCACTCATCCAGATATCAATATCAATTTGTGGATAAAAATGCATCACTAAAATCATACACAAATCTACAAATGAATGTAGGATATCCTATATATACACTTATGACATTTGTATATTTCAGATTAATTATAAACCTGTGACCTCTTGTAATTTAAGTAATTTCAGCCAATTAATTTTTTTGGCAGAGAGGCATCGAAATATATTTAAGAGGCCATTGAAACATTTTATTAGCCAAACCCAAGGATCAAGAGGTCTTGAAAGTAATTTCAGAAAAATATTGATATTTCAAAAAATAGGCCGAAATATAATACACCTCTTTATCATGATTATCCAGCTTTGGCATCCTAAATGTTATACATTGCAGAATTCATAGAATTTGAAGTGTTACCCTTAATATTATTTCATTTGTGCTTATTCTTGTGAATGGACCCTCTATCAGATCGCAAACCCCATGCCCAACAGCCATACAGGAAAGGCGGAATCTGCTGTGCAATAATCAGATTATAGTGGGCCTAGAATTTCCCACTAGGCACAGACTTTAGACTTCAGGTCCATGCGCAAGGCAGACCAGATCTATCCGCGGCTTACTTCCTGCGAAAGCTATTTGAATTTTGATATAATACAATGTAGCTTTCCCACGGACCATTTGGACAGCTGAATGATTGTGACCTTTGAAATCGAATTAAGTCGATCAGCGGCTTACTTTTGGTCTCTAACTGTGTCTTACATCAGTATCATCAATCCGTGTAAGTATTAGAGCGCTGAAATACTTCTTTTTCGATCAAGACTTGTAAATGGTTCATCGAGTGAATGTTTTTTAGACCTATTTATTTATTATTTTATTCATTTGCGAGATACGCAACTAACGAAATGAATTTTGAGAATTAGTTAGGTTCGGACAATCTCCGGAGATTTACGAAAATGTCCGAGCAGAAAACGCCATATTGGAATTTGGCAGTAAAAAGATTCACTCGACTAACAATTACAAGTCTTGATCGAAAAAGAAGTACTCCAGCGCTCTAATACTTACACGGATTGATGATACTGATGTAAGACACAGTTAGAGACCAAAAGTAAGCCGCGGATCGACTTAATTCGATTTCAAAGGTCACTATTGATCAGCTGTTAACTTCCGCGTTTGAGAGCCATAAGTTTCAAAATCTAACATGGCTCTCGAAGTGAGTAATCCACGGCCAAAACAAAAGCAATCCAAGATATGTCATTTGTGTACAAAATGAATTTGTTTTTCCATAGCATTGTGGTATTTTGATCGGCCTTTCGATTCCCTATTTTTGGATTTTATTGATGAAAGGAAAACATTGAAATCTGTTCAACAACAAAATTTCAATAGACATGTAGTTGTGGGGGTGAATTGAAAAATCAACCACCCCATTTATGACAACGTCTGAGGAATTTTCAAATAAAAATTTTGAAGTTGCTGAAATGATGATATACGTCCATGCTGAAATGAAGGAATGAAGACCCTTGATTGCCAAATAAGCTAAGGTCATGCCATTTTTCTTCTTCTTAACTAACTTAACTAACTTACTTATCCAACTTAACAAGAAACAATGTTGCCTAATACTTACAAGGTCGACAGAAATCAGCGTTCTTGCAATAATAGTTGAAACAAAACAAATCAAAAGTTTGCTGTTCTCGTGCTTCCGGTGACGTCAGTCACCTCTAAGGCCACGACAAGCAAACATCGTCTGCTTTGGTTTAACATATCGTGAGACTTGTTTTTGTAGCCTAACTCCGCGAAGTCAGCCTGTCAACCCACAGTCAGCACCATCTATCTAATATCTTATAACTGAATAATGAAGATTGATAGTGCTCACTGTGTGTCAACCTTATGCTCTGTCCTGTGGAGCTCTGTGGGAACTACAGAATGCCGGGAGAATTTCTTGCACAAATTCATAGATCCCGGCCAGATTCTTTTGTAGTACAGGGTGGTCAAAAAAAATGGAAACCCTAATACCATTTTCCTCATATCTTTGTCATTTTAATAAATAACTCCCTGATATTTTACACTTTTGTACATCATTCAATTTGCTACCAGCCTACTTTATTTCATGACCCTCAGATTGATAGTCATACAGTACTTTAAAGAACATGCCCATTGGCCACAATTGCGTTGTGGGGAAACCTGTACTTATCGTCTAAAATGTCCTTACCTGTGGGGATATGACAGAGAAAGAGTATATGAGAATGACCTCAGGACAATTGCAAACCTCAAAAGTGAGATCATTTGTGTCATTCAGGCCATACCTGCTGAGGAATGCATTCATGACGTCAAAATAAAATAAGACAATCTCAGTTTCTATGGCACTGACGTCATGACGTCAGATTTATCTTAAGATCTCAAATATGACGTCATGTTTAATCAATGAATGACATCTATCGGCTATT